AGGGTAATGCCATTGAAATTCCAAAAAGTGCAAGAATGTACACCGCAGCAGAAAGAATATAGACTCAAAAGAGCTAAAGAGTTATTTCATTTGGCCGAAAGTGGTGAACTGCCGAATTTGGTTTTCTCCGATGAGAAAACATTCGTTGTCCAGTCCAGCAGTTTGTAAACAAACAAAATGATCATGTTTACTTGCCAAAGAGGCCAGCTGAAAATGTGCACCTTCAGTTGGTCACCACAACTCAAGCGTCGGTCATTGTGATAGTGTGGGCCGCTATAACGCTGGAGGGTGTATTAACGACTTGGGCACGCAAACATTTTGGCCGCAGACCTTGGATATTCCAGCAGGACTCAGCACCATCTCACTCAGCACGCTCAACCCAAAAATGGTTACAAAATGAGGTTCATCGGTTCATTTCCAGCGCACAATGGTCACCAAAATCTCCGGATACCAATCCGTTGGACTATTGTGTCTAAAGCATTTTGGAAAGCAAGGTTGGCACTAAAAATACCAAAGTGTCGATCACCTCAACCAAGCGCTTCGCCGGGAATGGGCCAAAATACCGCAGAGCAACATTCGGGCAGCGTGTAACGGTTTCATTGGCCGTTTGAAGGCCATAATTCGTTCCAAAGGTGACCAATTCGAACAAATCTAAACTTATACTAAAATTTGATGCTATTTCCGAAATATTTTGCTTTCATTCAATAAAATTAAAAAAAAAATGTAAAAACTATGGTGTTTGACGTTGTTGCGGTTTTTTTATCTCACCCTGTACACTGAAAAACGTGGAATTTTCCAGTTTATTTGAGTCTGGGATAGGGTAATTGATGTGAAAATTCCCAGAGTCAGTCCCGATATTATATGAAAAGAGAACATTTGACCTATTCATTGATAATGATTTCGAAGACGTATATATTTAGATATCGGGAATCTAAATTCTCTTAGATTGTTTTCGATTCCCATGCCTGAGTCCTTCAAAATACCGAAAATCAGAAGGTCCCATATATTTTGAGCCTTTATCTAAATATAGACCATTTTAAATACCAATTATCCTAGATATATTTTGCCAAAATATATCTTATAATTCATGTAAGAGAGTGTCGTTCGGTGTTGCGATAGATATATACTTTTATACCCATCGTGGGGAGGTATCCAGAAATTGGACCTTCATATCGTCACTTTACATTAGATCTTTTGGTAGCAAGTTTAAATGTATCAGTCGGGTTTATTTTACTTAGATTATGATTTTTCAAACTGTTGACCCTTTCTGGGTCATTTTCCTCACCTTATATGAGACATGTAATGCTTTTTGGAAAATGTTGAAATGTGTGAAAGTTACCAGATGTAGTGGACCGAATTATTACACTTCATCTAATACTGAAAAAAATATTGGGATGTGCAAAATCTAAAGAACATTTATTTTTAATTTTATGCGAATAAATGTTAATCAGAATTTTAACCTTTTGTGAGGGTGGTACGAGAATTAGTGAGCCGATAAATTCCATATTCCCGACAGTTCTCTGTTTGAGAGAAATATTTAGATATACCAAGTTTGAAAAGAATCTCTGATATGTTTCCCAGTTATGAGAGATGTAGCCATTTAATATTGTGGGGGAGGTACCAGAAGAAGTGGGCCCTTATCGTGCCATCTTATGTAAATAAAAATATAAGGAAGCGTGAAATTTAAAGAGAATTGAACGGTTATTTGGCATTTTATGAGAGATATAATTACACAAAACTTTGACCCCTTTGTGGGGAAGGTACCGGATATAGTGGACCGAATTATTCATCTTCATATCACATCTTGCGTTGGCAGAAATGTTGGTATGTGTGAAATTTTGATAGAATTGGATGGATATATCCCGTCGTCTTTTTTTCGCATTTTATGACAGATCTAATTATTCAAAATGTTTGCCCTTTGTGGGGAAGGTGCTAGAAGGAGGGGTCCTACATATTCCATTTTCCATTTTAGTAAAAATATTGTGATGTGTGAAATTTGAAGAGAATTTGATGTTCAATTCGCTCAACTTTTTATTATCGTTTTTGTTTTTCAAAATGTTGACCCTTTGAGTGTCAGGTACAAGAATGTGTGGGTCGATATCTACCACCTCCACAGAAGTATCGATTATTTCACTCTTTAGAAGCTTCATGGTTATTCAAAATTTTAATCCGTTATTGGGGGAGGTACCAGATGGGGGTTATTATATATATCCCATCTTCACACCAGATGGGGATATGTAAAGTATAAAAACAATCGGATGATTTTTTCACATTTTTTGGCAGGTATTGATATTGAAAATATTTACCCTATGTGGGGAAAGTGCCAAAAGTTGTGGTTTTATATTCCATCTTCATCTAAACATATTGGGATGTGTGAAATTTGAACTGAATTGGATGGTCAATTCGCATTTTTATGATCGTTTTGGTTTTTCAAAATGTTAACTCTTTGTGAGGCAGGCACAAGAAGGAGTGGGTCGATATCTACCAGAAATATTGAGATATGCCGAGTAGTGAAAGTTAGGCGAATGCTTATTTCGCGCTTCATGAGTTTCATATTTATTCAAAATGTTGACCCGTTCTGGAGGAGGTACTAGAAGGAATGGTTTAATATGTCTCATATTCACACCTGATCTTGTGTTGATGGAAATATTGAGATGTGCCGTGTTTGAAAGTAATCGAAAATTAATTCGATCAACAAGCCAGACAAACAGAAACACGGACGAACAGACACCCCTTGATCGACTTCAAATGTCCTGAAACGGATTTGTTCCAGAGGGAATTAAGGCCTAAAATCGTTATTTCGTTGAGCCACGTTTTGGTCGTATCAAATGATGCATACCCTCTGTAGCCACATGGCCATAATAGCACACACATACCTTTCACTCTTAGTATATATATTTTGAACGTAATTTTCGTAAGAAACTATTGTACCTAGATATTTGGTGTATTCTGAGATTTAAAGTAAAATGTTGTGTAGAATAGTTCTTCTATTGACATCGTCCGCCTCAAATTAAATTTTATGTTTCTTTCAGCCCTTAACTCGGAAAAAGTCTGAGAAAAAATTTATCAAAAAAACAAGTAAAAAACATTAAATTCGGCAGGGACAAACTTTTAATACTCTCCACCTTAGGGTAAAGTAAACATTAGAAGAAATGTGGCAATATTCCGGTACCTGCCGATATTCGGTATTTTGATGATTTTAGCTATATTATTCAACAATTTTTTTTTTTAAATTTTGAATTTGAATATTGTAATGGCTTATGACAAAAGTTACCCATGCAGGTCCATGTCGTCGTATGGACCCTAATATAATAGCTACATTCGGTATTTTTAAGATTTTAACAGAATTTTTAACGGATTGTTTTTGAGAATTGCCAAATTCGTTCCAAATGGTGGAGGGTATTTAAAGTTCGACCCGACCGAACATACAGCTGGCGTTTAGGAAAGATTTGGACTTTTGAAGTCCTTTAGTAGAATTTTATGATAAAACCAGTAAAGAAAGTCTTAAAGTCGGGCGGGGCCGACTTTATGATACCCTACACCACTTTGCTAATTAAGTAGAGCTCCACAATTAAAAGTTTTTATGGGAGAATTCAATCATACACGCTATGATTATAATTATAATTTAAAGTTCAAAGGACTAAATATGCCGAAGCATTTGTATTGTATTCGGAATTGTATTGCCCATTTGGTGCACAATTCATTTGAAATGGGATAAAGATATATATGGGAGCTATATCCAAATCTGAACCGATCTCGAAAAAATTTGGCAAAGATATTTCTGTGCTGTATTTGATATATTTCCCTGAATATCGTTGTTACGGAGTGCATATTACGGTTGTGGGTAACAAATATAACAAATCGGATGAATAATATATATGTGAGCTACAGCTATATCTGAACCGATCTTCACCAAATTTGACGTACTAGCTTCTAGACTCAATTCGGTCGTAAGTGCCAAATTCCATCCCATTTGGACAAATATTAGACGTTTGGTGCACAATAAAAGGTAAATCGGACGAAGTTATATATGGGAGCTATATCCAAATCTGAACCGATCTCGATAAAATTTAGCAAATGAATTTCTGAGCTGTAGTTGATATATTTCCCCAAATATTGTTGTTACAGAGTGCATATTACGGCTGCGGAGGACAAAAATAACAAATCGGATGAACAATATATATGGGAGCTATAGCTATATCTGAACCGATTTCGATATAATTTGGCATACTTATTTTCAGGACTAATCTGATTGTATGTGCAAAATTCCATACCATTCGGGCTGATATTACACGTTTGGTGCACAATAAAACGCAAATCGGACGAAGATATATATGGGAGCTATATCTAAATTTTGACCGATTATCTCCAATTTCAATAGGGTTCGTCCTTGGGCCAAACAAAAGATCTTTGCAAAATTTAATCTGGATCGGGCAATAAATGCGACCTGTACTTTGTTTACATAAATACATGGACAGACGGACGGACGGACGGACGGACATGCATAAATCGACTCAGAATGTGATTCTATGCAGATCATCAAAAGGAACTATGGGTCTATCTCGTTTCCTTCTGCCTGTTACAAACAAATGCACAAAGACATAATACCCTGACCACCTTGTGGTGTAGGGTATAATGACCACCTTGTGGTGTAGGGTATAATGACCACCTTGTGGTGTAGGGTATAATGACCACCTTGTGGTGTAGGGTATAAAAATTTGTGGAATAGGGTTAAAATATTCCTCATGTGAACTTAATCCGAAAATTTTCAAAATTTAAATTTTGATTACTTTTCGATGTAAACTTTCACACGTGTCTTCCTTTTTACAATCTGCTGGATCCCTTAATTACTGAAATAAAATGAATTTTGTCGCACAGTGTAATCTTTCAACGAATTACATTCAGAGTTCATTGACTCTCACAATAAATTCTTTTTATTCTCTAATTTATTTTTCCTCTGTTTTTCTTTTATTGCCATTCTATTCTTATTCTATTTTCAGAGAAACTTTTATCTGCCGAAGGAAGTGATCTGCGACGTGCCTTGTTTTCCTTGAAACAAGTCTTTCAAGAGGATAAGGATCTCGTGCATGCCTTTGTGGCATTAGGTGGACTCAACTGTTTGGTGCGTGTCGGTAATGGTGCCGATCAAAACTATCAAAATTATATATTGCGTGCATTGGGTCAGGTATGTTAAACGATCGATCGACTCAAGTATTGATCTCTCTCCCTTTTCATTGTGGCATGAATATTGCCTCACACACACACACAGACAAACTCTCACAGCATTTACAAAAATTCACAACAACAGATGGACGGGCAACAATGCAAAACTCTGCCAACAAGTGTAACTCCTCTGCGTGATGGCCAAGATGGGATTTGAAAGTGTTGCGTGTCCAACAAAATCTAGTTAAAATGGACCAACAACAAACAAACAAACAACCCGAGAAAGACTAGCAACAAAGGCATAGAAACATTTCATAGATTTAATCGAAACGAGACATTGTGTCGCTTCGATGTTGCCTTTGTTCGTTCGTTCGTCTTGGGTGCCATGGGGACGAGTTCGTCACTGTAATTAATTAGAGATGTTAAATCTTAAGTGATCTCCGCCCCTTCGCTTAATCTGAAGGCAGGCCATCGACAGACCTCATCTCATTAAGCTCATGCAACCAACAGACTAAGTGGCAACGAATTATGACTTTTAGGAGAACTACATAAATACATTTACTAACTTGCTGTGTGTGTGTATGCTGTGAATCATTGCTGTAAATATTGTTAAAAAATATTGTTTTAATTGTTTTTGTTGTTGTTTTCGTTTTCCATTCCGCAGGTTATGCTCTACGTGGACGGCATGAATGGTGTTATGAAACACGAACCCACAATGCAGTGGCTATATTCATTAATCGCATCCAATTATCGTTCCGTGGTTAAGACTGCACTGAAATTATTGTTGGTATTCGTCGAATATGCCGAATCCAATTGCCATGTATTGGTCAGTGCCATACACAGCGTGGACAAGCAGCAAGGCACACTGCCATGGTCAAATATTATGAGGTGAGTATTGGTATACGTTAGACGACGAAAATTTAATGTTTTCACCCAAAATTGAAAAAAAATGAAAACGAAAAAATAATTTAAAAATGCCACCAAATATATTTAATTATCATTAATTTGGGTTTCATTATGTCAGTACGTGGTCGGTCATTTAATGCAGTGAAACGTAAATTACACACATACATAGAAATGAAACATAATTTATAATGTCACATGTAATTTTGGATTTGGATTCATTTCCTTTAAAATCGCAGGGGATAAATTTTAAAAATCCTACAACAAAATGTTGTAGTCTAGGTGTTCAATTCCTTTTTATACCCTTCACCATTGTATGGAGGGTATATTAAGATAATCAGGGTATTTGAGGGTATCTGTTGAAATCACTCTAGCTTCCGAACGAAATGAAGTAGGTTGATAAAATTTTACTCAAATGTGTATCATGTCTGCAGGACTTTTGATATGAAATATGGGTGATGTAGGTCCACGTTTTGGAATAGCCCCCATATAACAGTACCTCCCGATATTCGTTACTTTGATGATTATAGCGACATTATTCACCGGAAATTTTTTAAATTTGGTATTTGAAGTTCGTAATGGGTACTATAGTCTATGACAGAAAATTGTCTATGCAAGTCCACGTCTTCATATAGCCCCCACATAACGGTACCTTTCGATATTCGGTACTTTGATGATTTTAGCGACATTATTCACCGGAATAGTTTCAAATCTGGTATTTGAAATTCGCAACGGATGCTACAGCCCATTGCAGAGAATTGTCTATGCAAGTCCACGTCCTCATATAACGCCCATATAACGGTACCTCCCGATATTCGGTATTTTAATGATTTATGCGGCATTATTCACCGTAATTGTTTCAAATTTGGTGTTTAAAGTTCGTAATGGATAGTAATAGCCTATGACAACCTATTGTCCGTGCAGACCCACGTCTTCGTATTGCCCCAATATAACGGTAACTCCCTATATTCGGAATTTCGATGATTTTAGCTACATTATTCACCAAATTTTGTTATTCAAGTTTCGCATTTGAATATATTTTAATGGTTTATGACAAAAGATGCCTATACAGGTCCACGTCGTCGTATAGACCCTAATATAACGGCTACATTCGTTAGTTTTAAGATTTTAAGAGAAGTTTTAACGGATTTTATTTTTTTTGAAAATTGCAAAAATCGTTCCTAATGGTGAAGGGTATTCAAAGATCGGACCGGCCGAACTTACAGCTTTTTTACCTGTCTCCAATTAACATAGATAGATTAATAAAAGAGTAAAATAATTGGATGACTGACTAACTTACGATTCATCAACGCCCAGATGAAGCTGCTAATGCTAGTATCTTCAAATTTTGGGTGAGGGTCCCTCTATGGGTGTGCGGCGTTGAGATATGAAGTGGTTTGAATACTTACGTGAAAGGAGAGTACTAAGTGGTACTAAATTTGGCATCAGGTATCTATATACACAAAAGTGTTCTGAAATAACTAACCAACTGAAAAATGGGAAATCAACGCCCCGACGAAACGGCTGAAGGTAGAATCTTGAAATTTTGTATGAGAATAAGTCTTGGTGTGTAGGCGTGGGATTTTGGAAAATTCGTACTAAAAAGGTACTTAAAAGTACTATGGAATATACTCACAATTGAATACTTTGTATTGCACAGAACTCAATACTATGGATTAGAGCCACTCATGCAGGAGAAATGTACCAAAGTATTTTCGGAAATTCCTACTCTAAGGTTACGTATTATATGAAAGGATAATGCTAAAATCTCAAAATTTGGTAAGAGAATCATGGTTCGAAAGTAATTTTGATATATGAGGGTGGTTTTGGAAATTTGTACTAAGTATACGAACTGTACCAAATGGTACTTAGAATGTATTGTAATAATTATTACTGTGGTCTACCCTTAATGATGCTTTTCACCTTGCAAATTTTATCCAATTACACTGCACTGTCTTAAATTCCCAAGCCCAGCAAAAGTTCTCATTGATTGGTCTAAAATTGTCACTTGTAGAGCAACTAAAAAATCCAAGTGAAATCTGTCTTTGCTCTATTTCGTCCTCTAAATATTTTCCGATCATCTCCAAGAAGTATAGGCTTATATTTAGACCCTATCTATATATGATGATCGGTATGCTATAAGTGGGTCTACGAAAAATATTTCGAGGTACTACACAATTTTTGGCCTAACATATAATACACTCACCATATAGTCTTGTATGGTATAACAATTAAATGTCAAAAATATCAGCTTAATTTTTTTTTTTTGCTCTTTTTATCAATCAATAGCAGCTAATTCCTTTTTGGAGCAGAAACACTTCATTGTTCGTTTGTTCATTATTTTAATTATACCCTACAACACTATGTGTTGGGGGTATTATAAGTTTGATTGGGCCAGAATTTATGTAACACCTCGAAATATTGGTTTCCCATATAGGAAAGTATATATGGATCTTCCTAGCTCGCCGAGCTGAGTCGATCTAGCTATGTATGTCCGTCTGTCCATGTTAATTTGTAATCACGCTACAGGTCGCAATTATGGCCCGATCCTCACGCACATTTGAATAGGGGTTACCGGACATTGCAAAAGCCAAGCAGTTTTGGATGACCATCCAAAAATATACAATGTGTGAATAGCTTGCCAACTTTTGTAGACAAAATACGAAAATGTCCATTCCAGTGACTTTTTGGAGAATTCACAAATACAGGAAAGACGCACTTCTGACTATTTCGTTAACGCTGATTTCGTTGAAGAATATAGTCAAATGTCTGTATCTCATATAGATGCGTTTCAGTCAAAAACCAATAATAAATGTTAATCTTTTGCCACTTCTGAGAGTTTCAGATCTAGGAAGACCATTTACGTGCAACATCTACCAATAAATTGGAAATGAGCAAATTAGTTAAAGTTGCTATTATTCGAAAATTAGAGAACGAAACATTATGGTTTTCTTTTATTATTTATCACAATATCTTGTGGAATTTTTTCGAGCATCTCGCCCATGTAAACTGTATCGTTTATTATAGTGTTGTAGGGTATTCAACGGTCGGCCCCGCTCGCCTGTAGCCTTTGCTTACTTGTTTTTATTGTATCTCCATTTTTTAATCCCAGCAACTACATCAATTTCAAACGATACCGTCCATATGTGCTTATCGATATGAATTCATTTGTACAGTACTTGCATCATGAAATTATGGTATTAAAATATTCAAAGCATACTTTGAGGCGCAATAGAAAATTGACCTTTATTTTATTGTATTAAAATTTTGTTTTCCAAACTACTTTTTCAGACTTTTAAAAGACTATGATAACGCCGATGCCGAATTGGTTATATATGCTGCCTCCCTCATTAACAAGACCTTAGGCGGTTTAAGTGATCAGGATAGCTTTTATGATGAAAGTGATTTATTGGAACAGCAAGGCATGGAATCTGTGATACAACATTATCTGTCCAAACCGGGGACAGATATTGATTTGATAAATCAATTGCAACTCTATGAGGCAGTACTGAAGTAAGTTGAAATGTGTTTTTAAATTAAATAAATAAATTAATGAATATATTTTCGATTTTAATGTAGATTTGAAGATGGTGAATCGGATGGCTTACGTTTACCCGATAACACATTGCGCAAAACACAACGTTTTCGCAGTTCCACCGATACCGCTGAACGTCGCAAATCACGGCGTCACAGTACGGGTACAAGTCCGGGTAATATTAATAAAGTTCTGCCCACAAATTCCCGCTTAACCCCACCACAAACGATTTTGGACGAGGATAGTTCGAGTTCAACAAATTCAGCGGAGTATGCTAATGGTGTTTTTGTGGATAAACAACGTAAGTGTTATATGGATTTTTTGTGGAGTGCAAAGTGTCAAAGTTTCGGTATTTAATTCTTAGTATGTACAAACCTTTCTTGGTTTTGGTACTCCTCATATGAATATACTTCCTGATTTCAGACATTTCGAAATAAAATATTCAAATTGCTTCACTTTTTGAAATCTAAAATTTGAACTGTTTTCAAATTAAATTAACTATTATTAATTATAGATCGGGATGCTGCTGGTGTAACACCTGGCTTGAGAAGAAGACGTGAGCGCGCCGAACGACACAGAAGTTTCTTGAAGGAGCAACAAGAGGCTGCTGCAGCAGCTGTTGCTGCCGCCACCGCAGCAAATGGTTATCTAAATGGTCTGGAAAAACGTGAGGAACTGGGTAAGTTTGAAAAATCTCCCCTTAACGTATTCTCCAACAAAATCCTTCATTTTCAAATACAAAGAGTGTTTATCTGTTTTCTTTCTCTATACCGAAAAATTAAATTAACAAATTGATGTGTTTTCTAATTTCTTTGTCGAAACTATTAACAACCCTTTTTCTTGTGTCTTGTGTGCCATCATCCGAAACCAAACCATTTGTGTTTTTGACTTTATTTTTTTGCAAAAAAACAAACGATCATCAACATCATCATCATTCAATCCTAAAAACAAATGAATTGGCAAATATCAAATATCTCAAAATGTTGGAAAAATGCCGTTTGTCGTTAAGGCCAATTGGTGACAGCCATACCGGCCACAGTTAAAAGTGGCGATAGTCCACCAGAGTCATTGACCATTATACCGGAGAGCAATGGCAGCCAATATCAACAGCATCAGCCAGTTATCGACAGCAATGGCAGCAATCAAATACATGCATATAATAGTCATAGTAAAACTAATGCAACTGCTAACTCCCCTAACAATGCTCTGCTCATCAATACCTCCTCCCTGAATGCCACGAATTATCCCAACAACACCACAACCACCAGCCTGAATGGGGCCGGTAACAGCCAGCAACATCACATCAATTTGTTGAGTCCCACCAAACAACTGTTGGGCACCAACACCATTTCCATTATCAACACCTCCTTTGAGAAGGCCAACACAAATAAGTTACAACAACACAATGTCAATGCCAACAACAAAAAGAACATATTCATGGAACGTAATGCCATCAACGGTATGATGAAGAACATCCAACGCAGTAATAGTAGCAACGGCAGTGGCAGTGGCAATCTGGAGTCAAGTGAAAACTATCAGCCAAATGGAGGCGAGAACAATTTGCTGAACTATAAGAAATTTGAGAATAACACCAATCGGCTGAACTCCTATTACACTCAAATCAATAACAGCTCCTCAACACCAAAGAATGAAAGTCCCAATAAATTACATCTCCAGCCACATCACACAAACCACCACAGTCAACAGTCGTCCGCTATGTCTCCCTCAGTCACTACACCAACGACACCAAATACCACCCTACATATTCCCACCACCCCGCAAAAGAGTACAGCAGGTCATTGTTTGTCTGCTGTTCTAAGTCCAAAGAAAGCCCTAAGTTGTACAAGCCCTACATCTGCTGGTTTTGATTTTACACCTAAAACGTCTACACCCATAGCGCCTGCTGCTGCTGCTGCAACGACGGCTGCTAAACAGTTATTTGACGACGTGGTGGTGCCTTCCTCGCCTTTTACACCTGCTTACACTAACTCCGCAACATCCAGCGGCCCTACCTCTGCTTCCACAACGGCTCTAACGAGTCCGCAAACATCACCGGGAGACTATCCACCAACATCGATTGCTTACAATACCATATCTAATACATCAGTGGTGCCGCCACCACCACCTCCACCGCCTCCACCACCAGATTTATTGGGATTTTTACATATGCGTCCCATGAACTTTTACAATCAGACATCCGCCAGTACAACAACAACAACCACTAATAACTATTCAAACAATAACAATAATAACAATAACATTGCTACCGATGCCGTTGATTTCCTCAAAATAAATGGTAAGTTCGATTTCTTCAATTCTTCATTGAATAAACCTAAAAACCGAACACTTGTCTTGTCACAAAAGTAACCGCAACGAAGATGGATTATTTTTTGTAGTCTGTAATAATTATTCAAAAATAAAAGTAAAAAAAAAAACCGGTCTGACTGGAAAGAAATTTGCAAATTTTCAAGAAAACAAGTTAAAAAGTATCAGTCAGTTTTGCCGACAGATGTATACCCTCAGCCAATATTTGATTAGTTAAATATATTTTGACTTCTGTTATGATTATTCAAATTACTAACTTTCAATGGAGTAGATTCCGAAGAAATGGGCCAATACTGTCCATTTCGTATCAGACCAAAATAAATATGATATAAATATTGCGACATGCCAGGTTTAGAATATATATTGACTAGTTCCTTTACTTTGTATGAGAGAATATTTTCAGAAATTGTTAAAATTATGCAAAATCATGAATTCCATATTCATCTCAGGTTTTTGGTTGAGAGAAATAGCAAGTAGTAAAGAATCGCTGACTTGTTTCGCAAGTTATGAAAGTCAAAAGTATTGAAAATTGTGCCCCTTTGTGGCTGAGGTGCCAGAAGGCGTTCGCATATATATCTCATCTTCACAACAGATCTTGTGTTGGCAAAAATGTTTGTATGTGTGAAATTTGAAGAGAATTGGATGCTTATTTCGTTTTTGTTTTTCAAAATCTTGAACCCTATGTGGGGGATTTACCAGAAGAAATGATCCGATCTCCTCCATCTTTAAAACAGATCTTGTGCTGATGGAAATATTTATATTGTACCAAGTCTGAATGGAATCGAATCCTAATTTCGCGTTTAATGAGCTTCAGGGATATTCAAAATTTTGACCCTTTTTGGGGAAGTACCAGAAGAAGTGGACCAATATATTCCATATTCACACCAGAACTACACCTACAGAACTACAACTACACCTAATAAAAATATTGGGATCGGGCTCTTACATCACATTTTATAAGAGTTATAATTATTCAAAATTTTGAACCTTTGTGGGGGAGGTACTCGATGGAGTGGACCTATAATGTATATTTTCGCGCCTAGCACTGATGGAAATATTAGGATTTGCAAAGTTGGAGCAAAATCGGAGTATCCTTTCTCTTTCTGTGCAATAAAATATTTTCTTTGAAAATTTCGACATTTTGTGGGGGAGGTACCAAAAGGAATGGACCGATATCGCGCAACTCCAAACCAGATCTAATTTTTACCATAATATTACGATGTACCAAGTTTGGATCAAATCGGATACTCTATTCTAGAGTTATCATGCGCACCAACCAGACAGACGGACGGACGGATGGACGGACATCGCTAGATCGACTCCAAATGTCCTGAAACGGATTTGGTCCAAAGAGATCTAGGGTCTAAAACCGATATTTCGACTATGCACGTTTTGACCGTATCAAATGATATATACCCTCTGTAGCCATATGGCTGAGGGTATAAAAAAACAAGGGAAAACGGTGTAAGTTCGGCCCGGCCCATTAACAATTCTGTTAAAATCTTAAAAATACCGAATGTACCGTTGTTACGACGACATGGGCCTGCATAGGCAACTTTTATTATAAGCTATTACATATATCCTCAAAATACCCAATATAAGGAGGTACTACTATAAGGGGTTTATACGGAGGCGTGTACCTGCACAGACCATTTTCTGTTTTCTCTACAGCCTAAGTAGTATCAAAAACGAACTTCAATACCAAATTTGAAACAATTTCGGTAAATAGTGTCGCTAAAACCATCAAGTTACCGAATATCGGGGGGAACCTTTATATGGGGGCTATACGAAGACGTTGACCTGCACACACAATTTTCTGTCATAGGCTGTAGTATTCATTTCGAACTTCAAATGCCAAATGTGAAAGAATTCCGTTGAATAATGTCGCTAAAATCAACAAAGAACCGAATATCTGGAGGTACCGTTATATGGGGGCTATACGAAGACGTGGACCTACATGACCCATTTTCTGTCTTATGCTGTAGTATCCATTATGAACTTCAAGTACCAAATTTGAAACAGTTTCGGTGAATAAAGTCGCTAAATTCATCAAAATACCGAATAATGGTGGGAGGGGGGGTTTGTTATATGGGGGCAATACGATATCGTGAACCGGTATAGCCCATCTTCGAACTTGAAGACTGATATGTGTATACTTTTTTTAGTTTCCTATCTTTATTCGTTTTGAGTCCAGCGTGATTACAACAGACGGACGGACTGGGCTAAATCAATTTTCGGTCATAGGATGTACTTTCAATTACGAACTTCAAATTATAAATTTGAAACAATTCCGGTGAATATTGTCGCTAAAATCATCAAAATGCCGAATATAGGGAGGTGCCGTTGTATAGGGGCATGAAAGCCGGCCTACCTATCACTACCTGTGATTGAGAACAGTGGGTAATTTCTTAAAAAAATACTATGTGAAATAAATAATTTCTCTTTTCATGCGACAAGTCGTTGTTAAAATGCGGTTTCTAACTTGATTCGTAATTAGCTAGGAGTTTCGGCAAGAATTAAAAAAAAAACATTACAAATTTCCGTTGTGTAAGCCTTTAAAAAAATATTACAATAGGACACTGAATAAATGTATTGCGGAACCAAAAATCAATCCATCTTCACAATTTCATCAAACGCTGTATATATTGCTATTCTATTATTTCCACTTTTAAATAAACTATTTTTTTTTTCAAAAATTAAAAAGTTTTTTCTTTATTTGACTGTTGAGTATTACGCATTATTTTATTTATGCAAAATCTCGTAAATAACTTTTAATAACTTGGTTTTCGTTACTTATTCTTTTTCTTATTTTTCAAAATATAGAATCTGACAGCGAGGACAAAAAACGTTTGCCACAGCTGAAACGGGATCACACTGTTAAAGATTTAACCCAAAAACTCAGTAATTTACCCACAAGTCCCACACATGAAGATAAATTACAGAATCGTATTGTCGGCGATATGTCGGGTTTAATATCGAAAGCCAAAGAGGGTTTGGCCAAGAGCAAAAGCAAAGGTGAAGTGTCAAGGTAAGTTAATGCAAATTTGCTATTGTTTATTTGTGTTGAGATTCGAGAAAATTATTTTATTGAACGGATTAAAGGAAGTTAAAAAGTATCAGTCGGCTTTGCCGACAGACGTAAACACTCAGCTACTGTTAGTTTATTTAAATGTATTTTGACTTGCGTTGTGATAATTCCAACTAATGACCCTTTATAGGGGAAGTTCCTGACCTAAGTCTAGACCTAAGTCTTTACATGAGAAATGTAATAATTTTTGGAAAAGTAAGAATTGTGGGTGAGGTACCAGATATAGTGGACCGAAGTATTCCACTACACCTAATACGGAAAAAGATTTTGGAATGAGCACCTAACATTAATTTCCAAGTTTATGCGAGTAATTTATCAAAATTTAAACCTTTTGTGGAAAAGATATCGGAAGGAGTAAGCCAATGAATTCTATATTCACAACAGACCACAGGTTATCAAGTTTCAAAAGAACCGCTGACTTCTTTCGCAAATTATAAGATATATAAATATTGAAAATTGTGACCTTTTGTGGGCGAGATACCAGAAGGTGTGGGACGATATCTATCATCTTCACACTATATCTTGTGTTAATAGAAATATTGGAATGTGTGAAATTTGAAGGGAATCGGATGTATATTCCGTATTTATAAGCGTTTTAGTTATTCAAAACACTTTGTGGGGGGAGGTGCTAGAAGTAGTGCGTGGTCTTCACACCAGATCTTGTGTTAGTAAAAATATTGGGATGTGTGAAGTTTAAAGAAAATCAGATGCCTATTTCGTAACAGGTTTACACATTATTCAAAATTTTGACCCTTTGTGGGGGAGATACCAGAAGCAGTGAACCGATATATTCCATCTTCACACCTGATCTTTCGTTAGTGAGAATATTGTTATGCGTGAAATTTAAAGAGAATCGGTTACTTTTTTTCAATTTTATGAGCGTTTTTTATTAAAAATTTTGACCTCTGTGGGGGATGTACCAGTAGGAGTCAGCCGATATTGGAATATTTGAAGTTTAGAATCTGATTCATTATAAAGCCTATTTCGCATTTTATGAGAGATATACAGGGTGAGATAAAACAAGTAAAAAAAGCTGTAAGTTCGGCCGGGCCGAACTTTTAATACCCTTCACCACTTGGTACAAATTTGGCAATTTCCACAAAAAAAAAAAAAAAAAAAAAAAAAAAAAATAAGTAAATAAAATCAGTTAAAAGTTCTGTTAAAATCTTAAAAATACCGAATGCTTATACGACGACGTGGACCTGCATAGGCAACTTTTGTCATAAGTTATTACAATATTTAAATGCGAAACTTGAAGAAAAATCTGTTTATATGCACAGACAATTTTCTGGCATGGGCTGAAGTATCCATTACGAACTTCACATGCGAAATTTGAAACAATCCCGGTAAATAGTGTCGATAAAATCATCAAAATACCGAAAATCGGGGGGTACGGTATATGGGGGCTATATGAAGACGTGGACCTACATGGCTCATTTTTTGACTTAGGATGTAGTACCCATTACGAACTTCAAATGCCAAATTTGAAACAATTCCGATGAATAATGTCGCTAAAATCATCAAAATACCGAATATCGGGAGGTACCGTTATATGGGGGCTATATGATAACTTCGACCTACATGGCCCATTTTCTGTTTTATGCTGCAGTATCTATTGCGAACTTCAAATACCAAATTTGGAACAATTCCGGGTAATAATGTCGCTAAAATCATCAAAATACCGAATTTCGGGGGGTACCGTTATATGGGGACTATATGAAGACGTGGACCTACATGGCTCATTTTTTGACTTAGGATGTAGTATCCATTACGAAATTCAAATGCCAAATTTGAAACAATTCCGTTGAATAATGTCGCTAAAATCATCAAAATACCGAATATTGGGAGGTACCGTTATATGGGGGCTATATGATAACTAACCGTTATATGGGGACCTACATAGCCCATTTTCGAACTTAACCTGCCTACTGGCAAAATATACATGTGTGCAAAATTTTAGCCTTCTATCTCAATTTGTTCGAAAGATAGCGTGATTACAACAGACAGATAGACAGACAGACAGACAGACAGACAGACGGACAGACAGACACACAGACAGACAGACGGACATGGCTAAATCGTCTTAGAATTTTACGCTGATCAAGAATATATATACTTTGTTGGGTCTGACATGAGTATTTCGAGGAGTTACAAACGGAATGACAAAATTAATAATAATGGTGGAGGGTATAAAAAAACTGCCACAAAGTCAAACGCCATAATTTTATTTTTTTTTTAAATTTATTGAATGAAAGCAAAACATGTCGGAAATAGCATCAAATTTTAGAATAAATTTAGATTTGTTCGAATTGGTCGTCATTGGCACGAATTATGACCTTCAAATGAAACCGTCACACGCTGCCCGAATGTTGCTCTGCGGCATTTTGGCCCATTCCCGGCGTAGCGTTTGCTTGAGGTGATCGACACTTTGGTATTTTTATACCCTCCACCTTGGAAAGGAGGGTATATTAACTTTGTCATTCCGTTTGTAACATCCTTAAATATTCGTCTTAGACCCCATAATAAAGTATATATATTCATAATCAGCATACAATTCTAAGTCGATTTAACGATGTCCGTCTGTCAGTCTGTCTGTTGAAATCACAATACAGCCCACATTATTTGACGTAGAGCGCCAAAATTTAGCAGAGCTATTTACATTGTGCCTAGGATGGTTGGTATTGAAAATGAGATATATCGGTCCACGTTCTGGTATAGTCCCCATATAACGGTACCTCCCGATATTCGGTATTTTGATGATGTATGGCACATTTTTTTAGTTTTTTTTGCCACATTTTTTCACGGATTTGTCTAAACATTGGTATTTGTTGGTCATAATGGTTTCCAGCTCCGGTGGCGAAACATTGCATGTATGGGTCCATGATTTGGTATAGCCCCCATATAACGGTACCTCCCGATATTCGGTAATTTGATGATTTTTGCAACCTTTTTTCACGGATTTGTCGGAAAATTGGTATTTGTTGGTCATAATGGGTTCCAGCTCCGGTGGCGAAACATTGCATGTATGAGTCCATGATTTGGTATAGCCCCCATATAACGGTACCTCCCGATATTCGGTAATTTGATGATTTTTGCAACCTTTTTTCTCGGATTTGTCGGAAAATTGGTTTTTGTTGGTCATAATGGGTCGTAGTTCGTGTGGCAAAACATTATAATTATAGGTCCACGTTTTGGTATAGACCCCATTTAACGGTACCTCCCGATATTCGGTAATTTGATGATTTTTCCCAAATTTTTTCACGGATTTGTCTGAAAATTGGTATTTGTTAGTCATAATCGGTTCCAGCTTCGGTGTCGAAACATTGCATGCATGGGTCCATGATTTGATATAGCCCCCATATAACGGTACCTCCCGATATTCGGTATTTTGATGGTTTTTGCCACATTAAAAGTTTGGCCCGGTCGAACTTACTGTTTTTTTACTTGTTTTGTATCAACCTTGCTTTCCAAAATACTCCAGACACAATAGTCCAACCGATTGGTATCCGGAGATTTTGTTGGCCAATGCGCGCTGGAATGGAAACGGCCAAAATTTTTGCGTGTCAAAAGCTTTAATACACCCTCCAGAATATTTTCGCTTTAATATTCGGCATTTATTCTGATGACTCGGTCGACTAATACGAGCGAAATGCGACCATCGGCTGTTATAGTGGCCCACACCAGCACCAGAACGAGCGATGGTACGAGACACAAAAGATTTATTCACATTTAAATGCTGGAGTGCTCTAACTATAGCCACTTGTGGTTTTCCAGCCAAATATAAAGAAATCACACTATCACGCTTGAATTCCATCACGAATAGCTTTTTTTTCTGGAAAATTCTCACCAAAATTATTTTGTTCGCATGTAAACAATATAATGAGCTGTCAGTGGAATAATTTTAACAAATGTCGGACAAGTAGTTGAGGAATGACAGCAGTCTGAAGTTAGTTGCAATTTTTTCATCTTACCCTGTGTAAATGGTGGAGAATATAAATTTTGACTGTAATACTTCTTCCAAAAACTCGCTGCTTTTCCGGTTCAATTTTTCAATGCACAATCTCAAGATTAAGGTTTATAGAATGAAAATTGTGGTTTTCTCCTTGTAATGTTTATGTCCGGGTTCAAAAAATCCATTGCTGGTTAAAATTTGCTTTAAAAATACACCGAGTTTAATTTTTTTTTTTTATATTTTTATTTTTCAAAATTTTTTCCGATTATCACAAACATTTAAGCATATTGGGGAGCGTATTTTTCATAGGCAGCAATGTAGGCAGCCTTGGCGGCATCTTGGCTCATGCCCTTGTTGGCGTTCCAGGCATTCCATTTGGCTGAACCCTTGACATCAATGGCGCTGGGCTTGTCGACATTGCAATCACCAGCGGTGGCTTGTTTGAAGAGACCGTAGAATTCCAAGAAGACTTCATTTGGGGGAGTCTTGGTGAAGGACTTGGCTTTTTGGGTGGCGGTTTCAAACTGAAAAAAATGCAAAACATTAACATGGAAACTTTGGGACTGGAATTTATGTTCCTGTACAACTTACATCCATGTTTGTTCGTTGGCTTGGTGATCTGTTGAAAAATTGAAAAAACAAATTAAAAATTAATAGTTGCCCCACATTTCATGTTGATCAATTAATGTTCTTACCACTTGAAGACAGAAATGCTAGTGAGTGCTGGTCCCAATGAGTATTCGTTAATTTATACCCCAACATGTTTTACTGATATAATGGTCATTTTATTATCTTTATTGGCTTATCGCTTGCTTTCTTGACACTTTATGACATTTGAATGTGGACTTTAGAACTTTCTATTACCTGTTTCACCTGTAGAACTCTAAAGCTCCAATTGATCGACTACTTCCCTCAATAAAAGATACGTTAACACTTATCAATATTAGCATGCGTAGCGTTCGGTTCCAAAGAACAAATTATGACTAATTTTTTTTTTTTTTTGTCAAGATACTCATTGATTTTTTTATTAAATAACCATTACAAAAGATAGCAATTGGGTTTTATCTGATTTCCAAAATTTATAAAATCTTAGCTTGAGAATAATTCCGTCACTAGGCATATTTGGGTGCATATTTCTGATAGGTTGCCACATATGCTTGTTTGGCTGCATCCTGGGACATGCCCTTGTGCCTGCTCCATGCATCATATTTGGCCTTGGCAACAAAATCTGTTGTACATGGCTGGGCAACATTACAATCACCCACTGTGGCTTGTTTGTAGAGACCATAGAATTCCAAGAACTCATCGTTGGTGGGCTTTTTGGTGAAAGCCTTGGCTTTTTCACAAGCGGTGTTGAACTGAAATATCAAATGCATACATTTTACTATGAAGTTGCACTAAATTCTGTTAAACTACTTACATCCATTTTTAGTTTTCCTCCTCCTAGTTGAACTACAAGTTATAAATGACAAACAATTCTAGAAAATCGAGTCTCTTTAAATAGTCCCCTACAATTCTAGAAAATCGAGTCTCTTTAAATAGTCCCCTACGAGCTTTAACATTACTAAAATCTTTAATATTACAAAAATCTTATCTCTGAAACGTTTTCAATAAATCATTTTATTGCATTTCTTTGATTTATTGCATTTGTCAAGTGGTTGGTAAGTGTAATTCTATACCACAATGCGATTATCTCTAATCGACAAAGTTTCTCCGATTTTTCCCAGCTTTTAAAGAGCATTTAACTCGTTTCGTACTTTTTAGTGGATAAGTTCGGCTATTTTTAATTCTTATTATACCTGCAGTCATATGGCTAGAGAGGATATATGTACTTTCATAAGGCCAAAACGGCTAGGCTAGGTCTCTTTGGACAAAATCCCTTTTAGAACATTTTGAGTTGATCTAGCAATGTCCATCCGTCCGTCTGTCTGGCTAGTGTGCACGATAACTCCGACTTGATCCAAACTTGGTACATCGCAATATTATTATCAAACTTAGATCGAATTCGGAGATGGACAATATCGGTCCACTCCATTGAGTACCACCCCCAAAAATTAGGGCCTATACAACGACGTGGACCTGCATAGGCAGCTTTTCTCATAAATCATTACAATATTCAAATGCGAAACTTGAATAAAAAAAAAATTCGGTGAATAATGCAGCTAAAATCATCCACATACCGAATATAGAGCGGTACCATTATATAGGGGTTATACAAAAGCGTAGGCTATAGTATCCATTACGAACTTCAAATACCAAATTTGAAACAATTCCGGTGAATAATGTCGCCAAAATCATCAAAATACTGAATATCGGGTGGTATTATTTCGATGTGTTACAAACGGGATGACAAACTTAATATACTCTCCATACTATGGTGGAGGGTATAAAAATATATCGCAATGGAAACTTAAGTTCCGATATTCACACCATTTGGGCTGATATTGGTCATTATTTGACCTGTAAAGCTGACAACGAATTAAGGATATATATGGGACTTATACCCAAATCTGACCCGATCTTGAAAATTTTACGAAGGTATTTCCGATATTATGAGTGTGCCTTAGAGACCAAAGAGGATGAAACATATATATGGGAGCTATGGCTATATCTGAACCGATGTTCCCTATATTTGATGTACTTGCTTCTAGACAGAATTCGTTCAGATATGAGAAAATTCAGGTCATCTAGACTGATATAGGTCATTTTGTGCAAATCGGTTGAAGACATATATGGGAGCTATATCCAAATCTGAACCGATCTTGATAAAATTTGGCAGAGATGTTTCTGGGCTGTAACCGATACCAAATACCATTCTTATGGGTTGCATATAACGAATGTGAGGGACTTAAATACCAAGTCAGATGAAACATATATATGGGAGCTATAGCTATATCTAAATCGGTTTTCACTATATTTGGTGTACTTGCTTCTAGACTGAATTCGGTCGGATGTGCAAAATGCAGGTCATTTGAACTGATATTGGCCATTTAGTGCACAAATAACTCAAAATAGTTCGAAGATATATATAAATTTGAACCGATTCTCACCGATTTCAATAGGGTTCGTCCTTGGGCCAAATAAATATTGTTTGAAAAATTTTTTCTCAATCGAATAATAAAATCGACGACCTGCATTTTGTTCACAAAAATATGCTTAAATCGACTCAGAAAGTGATTCTATGAAGATCCTCAAAAGTAACTTTGGGTCTATCTCGCTTCTTTCTCTATTTTACAAACAAATACACAAAGACATAATACCATTACTACTATGTGGTGTAGGGTATAAAAAACCGCTTCACAGCAATTATTTTAAAAGTAAGCTCAATCGATCTGTCAACATTTTAAACTCTATATTAAACAATAAAATACAAACTATGTAGTTTTGGTGCCCCTTGACTTAGTGTTTGTCTCAATAGTACCCCAATAGTTTCGATATATTTTGTAAATAACTAATTTATTGGCAAAATAAGAAAAAGTTTTAAATATTTCCAATTATATAGCAGCTAAATGTCGTTTGAAAATTAGTTTACGGTACACTGTTGATTATCTCTCCAAACTCTTGTTTTGATAAAATCCTCTAGAAAAATTGGAAAAATAGAAGGTTGTTCTTTGCTATGCAGTTTTGTCTGGAATGACTTTTCGAATGAACATTTTTTAATTTCTCTGCGAAAAACTTGAAAATTCAAAAACAAAACGAAACTTTGTAACGAGTTTCGAAACATTATTTTGAAAATATTTCAATGAGTGATTGAGTGACTTACTAACTGAATTAACGCCCGGGTGTAGCTTCACCCATCCTTAAAGCAGTGTTTTTGGAAATTCGAACTATAAGATTTACAGAAGTTGCCAAAAATTGATTGCATTGTATTGGGATAGATATTTGATGATGAGGTGTAGGATAGAGTTACGTACGTTTTTATACATGGTGTGGATGGTATATTAAGTTCGTCATTCCGTTTGTATCTCATCAAAATAATAATTTTAGACTTAACAAAGCATATATATTCTTGATCAGTGTAAAAATCTACGACGATTTAGCCTTCTCCGTCCGTTCGTCTCTCCGCCACAGTCTTTTCGATGGCCTATATATGTTATAGCCCCCATATAACAGTACCCCTGATATTAAGTATTTTGATAATTTAACCCAATTTTTAACCGTAATGGGTACTACAGTCTATGACAAAAAATTGCGTATGCAGGTCCACCTCTTTGTAAAGACCCTATATAACGGGTTTCCTTTAAGCGATGTTTTGGACGGTTTTTTTTTTAATTTTTCAAGTTCCTTTAAGATGGTAGAGGATATAGTTCGGCCTGGCCGATCTCTTTGGCAAGAATACACGATCATTTTGTTTGTTTACAAACTGCTGGACAACGAATGTTTTCTCTTCGGAGAAAACCAAATTCGGCAGTTCATCACTTTCGGCCAAGCGAAGCAACTCTTTAGCTCTTTTGAGTCTATTTTCTTTCTGTTGCGGTGTAAGTTCTTGCACTTTTTTGAATTTCAATGGCTTTACCCCGAGCTCATTTTTAAATATTTGCCGAATGTAATATTGCGATAAGTTCAGCTCACGAGCCATTTTTCGTCCACTGCGACGCGGGTTTCGGTCAAGTCGCTTCTTTACTTTTCGCCCACTTCCTTGCATCACGGTAACGAGCGATGGTAAGAGACACCTAAGATTTATTCACATTTAAATGCTGGAGTGCTCCAACGATAGCTACTTGTGTTTTTCCAGCCAAATATAAAGAAATCTATCAATACTATCACGCCTGAATTCCATCACGACTAACTTTTCTTCTGGAAAATTCTCACCAAAATGCTTTTGTACACTTGTAAACAATATAATGAGCTGTCACTGGAATACTTTTAAAAGTTGTCGGATGAGTGGCTTAGATATGACAGCAGTCTGAAGTTGGTTGCAGTTTTTTCATCTCATCATGTAAATATTGCGAAATCTGCCCATTCTTTCTGTTACCTCCCCCATAACGTGTAAAAATTTTAAATAATCATGAAGCTCATAAAACTTGAAATGACGATCCGATTCCATTCAATCTCGGCAGATTCCAATAGTACAAGATCTAGGAAGGAATATATCGGACCACTCCAACAAGTACATCCGCCTTAAAGGGTCAAAATTTTGAATAACTATAAATTTTATAGAATATGAAATAAAAGTCTCATTGTCTTTGACATCTCAATATTTCTATCAACACAAGATCTGGTGTAAATAAGGAATATATCGGACCACTCCTTCAGGTACCTCCCCCACATAGGATCAACATTTTGCTAACCTATAACCTATATAGCACTCGAAAAGAGTCAGCGATTCTCTTTCAACTAAGCATATCTCAATGTTTGATTTGAAACTCGAGATCTTATGTGAATATAAGGTGGATATTCACATAAGATCTCGAGTTTCAAGTCAAACATTGAGTAAAAATTTATTATAAGTTAAGGGTGAAGTAATGAAACACCTTCCTTCTTAAAGGCTACGAATTAACAACCACGTTTTTTGCAATTTTTTATGACAATTTATTAACAAAAAATAAATAATTTAGAAGAAAAGCGGACGGGTAGTTTCGGGTGAGTAAACGTGATTTAAGCATATTGAGGAGCATATTTCTCATAGGCAGCAATGTAGGCAGCCTTGGCGGCATCTTGGCTCATACCCTTGTTGGCGTTCCAGGCATTCCATTTCGCTGAACCCTTAACGTCAATGGCGCTGGGCTTGTCAACGTTGCAATCACCAACGGTGGCTTGTTTGAAGAGACCGTAGAATTCCAAGAAGACATCATTTGGGGGAGTCTTGGTGAAGGATTTGGCTTTTTGGGTGGCGGTTTGGAACTAAAAAAAAAAACAAAAATCGAATATTGTTTTTCTATGTCTTTCAAAATGTTTCCAATGCCTTTAAACTTACATCCATGGCGAACTGTTTGAAGATCTTACTTCTCAAAAATTTGGAAATAAACTGATGTTGTTTCCGTGGAAATATCAGCAATTTATACAAAACCCATAATCGACGATAATAATTCGTGTGCTGCAAATGATTATAATATTTTTTTTTAGAATTTTATTCGAATTTCGTTTTATCGACATTAAGTTAACGAAATCTTTATGAACTTTTTATGTAGCCCCGATAAACGCTTGAGTCTCTTCGGAAATTCGAAATGCCTGATAAACTTGCAGAAGTTTTGACTGCAGATCCTAATATGGTATTGCCTTTGCAGTTGTTGTTATGCAATGTGTTTTATTGCTGCCAGCCCACCACAGTTCCAATAATTATTCGTCTATGACCAAATTTATTGGCCTTTTACCCTAGGGGAGAAATTAACGGTGCTGATAAGGTGTTTTTCTTTTACAATATACCCCTTCTGCGTACGTGTTGTTCGAAAGGCAACTCCGCCTTTAGAACTACCGCTCTTGTCGGCCATAAAAGAAGCAATACCCAGATAATTGATAAGAATTTAATAGACTAATTGAAAGTAATTAAGTGACAGTAGTTTTAAATATAACCACAAATCTAATCGATAAGGTTAACACGTCGGTCTTATACACGTATATGGGATTAACAACATGACAACATATGGGATTAACATGAAATTTATACATCTAAGCAACTTAATCATGATTTTGTCGTTATGTCTAAAAAAAGAAATTTTCAAAAAAAAAAAAAAAAAAAAAAATTGAAGAGGATCTGTAGAAGATATATAAAAGATTTTTTTCTATCTGTATTCAGCCAACATGTCTTTCATAGAAGACCTCTAGAGGATCTGCTAACTTAGTATTTATCCATTTTATTTAAAATAAAAAATAACCCATATAGCATATTTTCATCAGGTTTGGATGAAAATTTTTGCAGAAACCTTTAAAATTCGGAAAATCGGGAGGTACCGTTATGGGCGCTACACTAGTTAGTGCACTTTCATTGAACATTTTCACTAGGAGGGAACAGACCTTTAAAGAACCGCAAATGTCAATTTTCAGCTGATTTGGGTGGAAATTGTAGCAGAAACCTGAAAAATTCGGGAAATCGGGAGGTACCGTTTTATGGGGGCTACACAAATTGGTAGATCTTCATCGAATATTTCTTATAAGGAAAGAACAAACCTTTCAAGAACAAGAAATATAAAATGTTAGCTGATTTCGTTGGAAATTGTAACAGAGACCTTAGAAATATAGAAAATTTGGAGGTACCATCAGATGTGAGGCTGTACCACTTAGTGGACCTGAATCGAACATTCGTCACAACGAGAAAACTGACCTTTCAAGAACCCAAAATGTCAAGTTTCAGCTGATTTGGTTGTAAATTTTGCCAGAAACCTTTAAAATACCGAAGATCGGAAGGTACCGTTATATAAGGGCTATATCAATTATTGGACCTGAAACAAACATCTTTCGCAAGGAGAGAACAGACCTTTCAAGAATCCTTATGTCAGGAAACCTAAAAATAAAGCAAATCGGAGGGTACATTTGTATAGGGGTGGGTGCTATACCAATTAGTGGACCTGAATCGAATTTTGTTTTGCAAGGAGAGAACACATATTCCAAGATCCCCAAATGTCAAGTCTCAGCCGATTTGGTTAAAAATTGTGGCAGAAAACTTCAAAGTACCGAAAATCTGGAGGTACCGTTAGTGGAGGAGGAAAATCTGTAAACCTAACCCAATTAGTGGATCTGAATGGAACATTTTTTCACAAGTAGGGAAAACAACTTTCAATAACCCGAAATGAAAAATTTTAGCTGATTTAAACTGTGACAGAAAACTTCAGAGTACCGAAAATCTTGAGGTACCGTTATATAGGGCTTTACAAATTAGTGGACCTTCATTGCACATTTTTCCGAAAGAGAGAACAGACCTTTCAAGTACCCCAACTGTCAAGTTTTGGCTGATTTGTTTGGAAATTGTGGCAGAATATTTCAAAATAACGAAAATCTGGTGGTATATGGGGGCTATACCTAAACGTGGACCAACATAGCCCATTTTCAATACAAGTCATACCTGCATATAATATAAACCTTTCTGCTAAATTCCAATTAAATAATATGGACTGAATTGTGATTTCAACAGACATACAGACAGCCATACATCGCCAAATCGCCTTACAATTTTATTCTGATCAGGAAAATATTTATCTTGGATTCTCCAATGAATATTTCGAGGTGTTGCAACCGGAATGACAAATTTAATATATCCTACATTGAATGTTGGAGCCTATAAAAATATCATGCAACCAAAATTGTTGAGGGCGCTTTTATCAAATAGCTCTAAAAGGTCCATGGGAGAACCTTAAGAACTATTCCGATTTTATATGTATGTTGAGACGGACTTTTTTGTAATGTTGAGACGGACTTTTATCATATATAAAGATCTCCTATCAAAAAATCACTTTAAATATTCATTCCTGCAGGATATTTGTTTAATTATTATTTGTTTTTCATGTCTCTTTATTTTATAGAGCTTCCAGTGTCGATCAGGAGATCAAGAAACCTGAACCGAAAAAATCCGAAAATGAATTACAATGGGAGGAACTGGTGCGCAATATGGTGCGACCATTACAACTCTGTGATCTCGACTTTACTGACCTCAATTCCGACGATGATAAAGATATTCTGGCACCCCGCGGTCCCGGACGTGGTGTACCGCCACCACCACCACCCATGGGTGGTGTGGCTTTGCCACCTCCAATGCTACCCCAACACATAGTACTGCCACCGCCAATGATGACTCAGTCAAATACCAGCAATGGCAGTGGCATTATACCACCGCCCATGTTAAGCAACAGTGGTTATGCCAATTCCAGTCTAACCAATAGCCTAAATAGTTCCCTAAACGGTTCCATTAACGGTGACACCATTAAGAAGAGCAAAAAGACGGTAAGATACTGGAATTAATTTATGTAAGTTTTAATTTTAATAAATATTTAATTTTTCAAGGTTAAACTTTTTTGGAAAGAGGTGCGTGAGGATCTAATACCTGTGGCGGTGGGCAAAACAATCTGGGATGAATTACCACCGGCAACAGTGGATACCCAAAAATTGGAACACTTATTCGAGTCAAGAGCCAAAGATTTAATGACCAAGGTAAGTAGGGTGTAGGTCAAATGAAGTCAAAACAATTTAATTCCGACGATTGAAAAAAATAATTAATACAAAATATTTCTTTTTTTTCTTTGTGCCTTCAACAAATGTTTACCATGGATTGATTTTATGTGTGTTATATTTTGCAAAAAAAAAAAAAAAAAAAAAAAAAAAAAACATGATCTGAAATCCTTATATGAAAAAAAATCAAAAAAAAAAATCCATGTTACATGTAAACATATATATGACCAAACTCCTGTAGGAGGTGAGTGCATTATTTGTAATGACCTTGGATTGATTGGTGATCTGGCTACCAAAGCAATCTAATGTCAAACCTTTGAGTTATGGGTAGTCGTAGATATCGGTGTTGGTCTTCTCAAGTGTTGTGTCGCCACTTTTATTTGTAGTAGTTGCTTTCATTTTCACTCAGCACTTTTTCAAATAATTTCTCACATCTTTAGCACTTGCTGTGAGTGTTTAATTATTGTTTTTCTTTGGTAAAAAATATGTTTTTATTTGACTCTATTCATGTGTGTTATTGTGATTGGACCTGCACTTTCGTTTTGTTTTATCTAATTTGAATTTAAATTTCCACAATTCCACAATTTAAAAACAATTTTGTAGATATATTGCAATATTAGCATGGGCTAAATTGGGACAATATACAGGCCCACTATCTTTCAAAAATGACCAAAGACGGTTTTTGTAATTTAACTTTTGGGAATTTTAATTACACTACTTGGTTCATTGCCACCCCTTTCTTAATCATAAGTCATAAACCATAAATGGTAAATTTTTGATACAGGATTATTTATATAAATTTGGTGAAAATTGGTATATACAGGGTGAGATGAAAAAACTGCAACCGACTTAAGAATGCTGTCAACTCCAAGCTACTCGCCCGATAGCTGTTAAAATTATTGCAGTGACAGCTCATTATATTGTTTACAAGCGTACAAAAGCATTTTGGTGAGAATTTTCCACAAAAAAAGTTATTCGTGATGGAATTCAAGCGTGATTTATTTGCATTCGGCTGGAAAACCACAAGAGGCTATCGTCAGAGCACTCCAGCATTTAAATGTAAATAAATCTTATGTGTCTCGTACCACTGGTAGCATTACCCGACGTCAAGGAAGTGAACGGAAGAAAACAGCAACATCAGCAGACATGGTTCGAAAAGTAAAGAAGCGACTTGATCCCCGAAACCCGCGTCGTATTGGCCGAAAAATGGCTGGTGAGCTGAACATAACGCAATATTCCATTCGGCAAATATTGAAAAATGAGCTCGGGGTAAAGCCATTGAAATTCCAAAAAATGCAAGAAATAAGAAAATAGACTCAAACGAGCTAAAGAGTTGTTTCGCTTGGCCGAAAGTAGTGAACCGCTGAATTTGGTTTTACTCCGATGAGAAAACATTCGTTGTCCAGCAGTTTGTAAACACACAAAGTGATCGTGTTTCCTTGCCGAAGAGGTCAGCTGAAAATGTGCACCTTCGGTTCGCCCCCAGAACTCAAGCGACGGCCAAGATGATGGTGTGGGCCGCCATTACAGCCGATGGTCGCTCTCCTCTCGTATTAATCGACCGTGGCATCAGAATAAATGCCGAATATTATCAGCATGCGCCACCCAAGAATGGTTACAAAATGAGGTTCCTCACTTCATTTACAGCGCACAATGGCCACCAAAATCTCCGGATACCAATCCGTTGTACTATTGTGTCTGGAGTATTTTGGAAAGTAAGGTTGGCACTAAAAAATTCGAAAGTGTCGACCACCTCAATCAAACGCTTCGCCGGTAATGGGCCAAAATACCGCAGAGCAATATTCGGGCAGCGTGTGACGGTTTCATTGGCCGTTTGAAGGCCATAATTCGTACCAAAGGTGACCAACAAATCTCAACTTTGATGTTATTTTCGGCATTTTTTGCTTTCATTCAATAAAATTAAGGAAAAAAAATTATGGCGTTTGACTTTGTTGCAGTTTTTTTATCTCACCCTGTGTATGTATAATATACCGATTTTCACCAAATTTGACTAGTGAGTGCCCGCTACTTTGCCAGCGAAAAGTTCACCATAAAATTTGCGATTCGTTCCGAAAGTTTGTGTTATACCCTCAGCCATATGGCTAGAGAGAGTGTATATCATTTGATGCGGCGAAAACGTGTCTCATTGAAATAACGGTTTTAGACCCTAGGTCTCTTTGGACCAACTCCGTTTCATGACATTTGGAGTCGATCTAGCGATGTCCGTCTGTCTCTCTGGCTGGCAGGTTGTTGCCAACGATACCTCTCGAATGGAGTATCCAATTTGGTTTCAACTTGGTGCATCGTAATATTATGATCAAACTTACATCGTGTTCGAAGATGGGCAATATCGGTTCACTCCGTCTGGTACCTACCTCACAAAAGGTCGAAATTTCCAAAAAAAAAAAAAAAAAAATATTTTACTGCACAAAAAGATTTTGATCTAATCATAATATCGGCATCAATGCTAGGTCAGGTGCGGAAATGGACAATATCGATCCACTCCATCAAGTATCTCCCTCCCCCACAAAGAGTAAACATTTGGATAATTATAACTCTTATAAAATGTGATGTAAGAGTCCGATTGTCTTCAAATGACACACATAACAATATCTTTATTAACCATATAAATATGGTAGAGATTCGATCATTCCTTCTGGTACCTTCCCACAAAGGGTCAACGTTTTGAATAACCAAAACGATCATAAAATCCGAAATAAGCATCCCGTTCTCTACATTTATCACACATCTCATTATTTTTACTAACTTAAGATCTGCTGTGAAGATGGAATATATATGTCGACTCCTTCTGGTACCTCCACCCCAAAGTGTCACAATTTTCAATTCTTTTATCTGTCATAACTTTATCTGTCATAACAGCGATTATTTACACCTTGCTGAGATGAACATGGATATTATGATTTCGCATAAAATTAGATATCAGTGTTCGATTTTCTTGTAATTTTGCCAATGCCAATATTTTTGTCTGTATTAAATGAAGTAAGAAAATTGAATATTTCGGTCGGCTATATCTGGTACCTCACTCTCATTTTAACATTTTCTAAAAATCATCACATCTCTCGTGAAAATTGATAGAAGTAACCAATATTGTCCAAACCTGGCAAGTCGCAATATTTATATTATATTTATTTAGGTCCGATACGAAATGGATATTGTCCCATTCCTTCGGAACCTACTCCATAGGGGGTCAAACATTTGAGTAATCATAACAGAAGTCAAAATATATTTAAATAATCGAACATTGGCTGAGGGTATACATCTGTCGACAAATCCGACTGATATTTATATCCCACATCACATAGTGGTTATGGTATTATGTCTTTGTGTATTTGTTCATAACAGGGAGAAGGAAGCGAGATAGATCCATAGTTACTTTTGAGAATACTCATAGAATCGCTTTCGGAGTCGATTTATGCATGTCAGTCCGTCCGTCCGTGCATGTTTTCTTGTGAACAAAATGCAGGTCGCATTTATTATCCGATTGAGATGAAATTTTGCCCAAGGACGAGCCCTACTGTAATTGTGATAATCGGATCAGATTTATATCTTCAACCGATTTTGGGTTAATTGTGCACCAAATGACCAATATCAGTCCAAATGACTTGAATTTTGGCACATCCGACCAGTATATAAAATTTGAAAATCGGTTCAGATATAGCTATAGCTCCCATATATATGTTTCATCCGATTTTGTCCTTAAGTCCCTCACATTCGTAATATGCATTCGACAACAATGATATGCGGTACCAGATATCTTATAAAGCTTGGAAATACTTTTGCCAAATTTTATCGAGAAGGGCTAAGGTTTACATATAGCTCCCATATATATCCTTAATCCAATTTCAGGTTTATTGTGCAAATAATTGCTAATATCAGCCCAAATACAGTGATTTTTGGGACGTACGTTTCCATTTTGTGGAACTCGGCCCCGATATATATATAGCTATAGCTCCTATATATATTGTTCATCCGATTTGTTATTTTAGTCCTCCGCAGCCGTAATATGCACTCTGTAACAACAATATTTGGGGAAATATATCAAATACAGCTCAGAAATAACTTTGCTAAATTTTATCAAGATCGGGACAGATTTGGATATAGCTCCCATATATAACTTCGTCCGATTTGCCTTTTATTGTGCACCAAACGTGTAATAATAGACCAAATGGGATGGAATTTGGCACTTACGACCCAATTCAGTCTAGAAGCTAGTACGTCAAAATTGGTGAAGATCGGTTCAGATATAGCTATAGCTTCCACATATATATTGTTTATCCGATTTGTTGCATGTGTTACCCACAGCCGTAATATGCACTCCGTAACAACGATATTCATGGAAATATATCAAATACAGCTAAGAAATATCTTTGCCAAATTTTATCGAGATCGGTTCAGATTTGTATATAGCTCCCATATATATCTTTATCTGATTTCAAATTAAACTTTAAATTATAATTATAATCCTAGCGCGTATGATTGAATTCTCCCATAAAAACTTTTAATTGTTATGCCGAGCTCTACTAAAGGACTTTCTTTATTGTTTTTTTTTTTTTTTTTAATATAATCCTTCTCGAAGTGATATCATGCACTCTCTCTGAAACCAAACTATAACTGCTCTAAAGCTAAATAGTGATAGGTGGTATGAATAAAAAATATGCATGGTGGTATAGGGTATCATACTTTTGACTTTTCCTTACTGGTTTTCAACTTGTTAGAGTTCAAAAAACGGCTCTGAGGGAAATAAATGTGATATCGGATGAAACATATATCGGAGTTATATCTATATTTGTACCGATTTTCATCAAATTGCATAAACTTTTTTCTAGGCTGAATTGGCTCGTGTAGGTACTAAAATCTATTGTACTTGGTCAGATGTTAGGCATTAGGTGTACAATAAAATGATAACGGGCGGAATCATACCATTTATTTATGTAAATGTTTCTGTGTTTTTTTCGGACCGATACTGGCATTTGCCAGCAAACGAACAACAATGCAATTCAAAACTGTACTGCATTCAACACCAACACTCTCTAATTATGAACCTTATCTTTATTAACTTTTAACCAGTTAAAAGCAGTTTGAGAATTTGTATGTGTTTCCGTCGAGTAAGTCAAATTAAATTTTAAAAAACTGAATTAAAATTCTTACCAAAATATGGAAATATGTTATAATACAACTGTAGTAGTAGAAAAAAAATTAAAAATATTAATAGAATAATTTTTTCTTACAAATATATTTTTATGGTGATGGTTCAATTTGTCACTTCATTTATTATAAAATAATATACACATGACGTCACCACCTGCTTTTCATACATATATACATACCTATGTAGCTGTGCTTTTTTTTTTTCTGATAATTGCCAATATTCGATATGTTTCCTTATTTGTAATTTACTAATTTTTTCTGAATGTCACATTTTTACAGAAACAACAAGAAATGAACAAAAGCAAAGAAGTTATTGTTCTCGATCACAAGCGATCGAATGCCATTAATATCGCCATGACCAAATTACCGCCACCGCGTGCTATTAAAGCGGCCATTTTGAAAATGGATGCCACAGTTGTTACCCGTGAGGGCATTGACAAGCTATTGAATATGTTGCCAACCGATGAGGAGAAGGGCAAAATACAAGAAGCACAGGTAAGTGAAGACATTATATTTTTTGGATTTCCTTCATTTATATCACTCAAAAACAAACAAATCATATCGCCCTTACTCCAATGGCATGGAGAAATAAAGTATACTCCACTACTTTACTTACTCACAGGAGTATTGCCCTTGCGCGAGATTAAATACACTCTCTTTAATCTTTTGATTTATGTGTGGGTGCTCGCGAGTCATTCCTGTATAAAAAAAAACATTTATGCTCCATTTTTTCTGCTCTCAGAATTGCTCCCTCTCGATTTCGAGCGAGTTTTAAAGATGTGATTTTGAACATTATGACTCCCTTTCTTATTTTTAAAATAACAGTTCTTGAGAGCTCTCCGACATAAAACAAAAGAGTGAAACCCACACTTTTTGTAAATCTTGACTTTTCGATTACTCCCACTCGCGAATATTTGACATACCTGAGTAAATTCGATCAAATTTGAGCTCTGCTTTTAACGCCTTACGTTTTATGTTTACAGATCTACGTCTTCATATAGCCCCCTTATAACGGAACCTTCCTATACTCGGTATTTTGTCGATTTCAGCGACATTATTCACCGGAATTGTTTCAAGTTTCGTATTTGAAGTTCATAAGGGACACTACAATCTGTGACAGAATATTGGCTATGCAGGTCTAGGTCTTGGTATAGCCCCATATAATGGTACCCCCCTATATTCAATATTTTATTGTTTTCAGCGACATCATTCACGGGAATTGTTTCAAGTTTCGTATTGATAGTGACAGAAACTTATCTATGCATATCCACGTCTTCTACGATTTTAGTCACATTGTTCACCGAAATGGTGTCAAATTTCGTCTTTGAAGCTCGTAATGGGTACTACAACCTGTGACAGAAAATTGGCTATGCAGATCCAAGTCTTCGTACAGCCTCCCCATATAACGGCACCTCCTAATGTCATGTGTTTGCGACACAATTCACCGGAATTTTTTCAATTTCCTAATTGAAAATTGTAATGACCTATGACAAAAATTTCCCACGTCTTTGTGTAAACCCCAATATAACGGTTCATCCCTATATTCGGTACTTTTAAGATTTTAACAAAACTTTTAACGGATTTTTTTTGTTCTTAAAAAGTTTCCAAATTTGTTCTAAATGGTGGAGGGTATTCAAAGTTCGGCCTGGACCAACATACTGCTTTTTTACTTGTTCCTTTTTTATTATTTTATCTTATTTATTCACAACACTCCATTTCAGATGGCAAATCCCGAATTACCCCTGGGTAGTGCCGAACAATTTCTCCTGACATTGGCTTCTATTTCCGAATTACCGGCTAGACTAAGATTATGGGCATTCCGTTTAGATTTTGATAATAGTGAGGTAAGTAGTGATTGTATTCCAGAATTTCAAAGTAAAATTACTCACAAAATATTTTCAAATCAACTTTTAGAGAGAAATTGCTGAGCCTTTGATGGACTTGAAGCATGGCATAGAAATATTAAGAAGTAATCGTACATTTAAATGTATTCTATCCACACTGTTATCGGTGGGCATATTTTTGAATGGTGCTCCTGTCAAAGGTTTCCAAATCGAGTATTTAGCCAAGGTAAGTAGAAATCTGAAAGACAAGACTTAAGAATAACACATTTTTGAAATCAATTTTTAGGTCCCCGAGGTAAAAGATACCGTTCACAAACATTCGTTGCTACATCACCTGTGTCACATTGTCATGGAATCGGGTATGGAAACAACAGATTTATATTCGGAAATTGGTCCCATTACCCGTGCCTCAAAGGCCGATTTCAATGAGCTGGCCTATAATCTTGCCCAACTGGAACATGAGTGCAAAGCATCATGGGATCGCTTGAAATTAATGTGTAAACACGACTGTCCACCCCAGCTTCAACAGAAACTGGTTGACTTTTTGGCCGACTGTGCAGAGAGAATAATTATTTTGCAAATTGTTCATCGCAGAGTTATGAATCGGTAAGGGTTATAAAGGTCATATTTTTTATTTTGTAGCTAATGCAATCCATTTTTTTACAGTTACCGCAAATTCCTTTTGTGGCTGGGGGTACCCCAACACAGTGTTGCCGATTCCAGACCCAATGAATTCTGTAGAATTCTTTCCGAATTCGCTTTGGAATATCGTACCACACGTGAACGTGTCCAACAACAAATCGAAAAGAAAGCCAATCACCGCGAACGCAACAAGACCAGAGGCAAACTCATTGTTGACATAGCCAAATTTAAAACCAAAGAAGATAAACAAGATGCCGAGTTGAAGTATTAAATTATTTCAGAATTTTATTTATAGAGCCGATACAAAATTAAATTTCCCATTTGTTTGCTTGCAGGGAACTTCTGGGTACACCAAGTTCTGATAATGCCGATGGAACGCTAACATGGCGTCGTCGTCGTGCCGAAAATCTACGCTCCCCCCAAATGCGCCAAAGTGAAGAGAATTTCACCGATGGCGACGATGAGATATTAGAGTCGCTAGTAAAGACTGCCACCAAAGCTCCTGGCAATAGAACTACGCCAAGAGAACGTAAACGTACACGTCACGCTGATAGAAAATCATGTAAGTTTTATCAATTTTTTTCCCACAATATTAAATGAATTTATTATTGGGTCAAATGAAATGTAGTTTTCAGAATACGTTGGCTAGGATGAATGGAGTTACAGTAGCAAAACAAAAATTAAACATTTATTTTAAAATAAAACAAAAAACAATTTTTAATTTTTAAAATTTTCATTTGCCATTGAAATTTAAAAAAAAAAAACAATTTGTAGATCGACTACAATTGTCCTAAAGCAGATTTCGTCCAATGAATGCTAGGGTCTAGGCACATTTTGGCCGTATCAAAACACATTTTCTCGTTAGGCTGAGGGTGTAATGAGCTATATCGATCCACCTTTTCGTATAGCCCTATACAACAAACCTTCCCGAAATTCGTTATTTCAACGATTTTAGCCATGTATTTGTTAACAATTCTCGATAATTGAAAATTTCAGTCGATAACACCTCCAGTGAAAGAAAGTGGTATATTTAGGTTTACGCTTTGGTGTAGCCCTCATATAATGGTACTGTCCACTTTTTGGTATTTTGAGGACTTGAGCTAAATTCTGTAGGTGTTATTAAAACTCGACCCGGTCGAACCTAATGCTTTTTGCACTGTGAATATCTTTGCGTATTTGTTTGTCACATGAAGAAGGAGGCGGGATAGACCCATAGTCTCTTTTTGTGATCTTCATAGAATCACATTCTGAGTCGAATTATACATGTCTGCCGGTACGCCAGTCTGTCCAAGTGTTTTTCTGAACTAAATGCTGAGCACATTTATAAACCGGTTTAGATAAAATTGTACACAGGATATTTTTAAGGACAAAGGACAAAAATTATCACGTATATCTCAGAAAATGTGATGGAAGTGATCTTTAAAGTCGAACTCTGGAATGTTGTAAGATTTATATCAGACTTAGGCCAGATAGAATATTGCCCAACTCCTTCTGCAACTCCAACAAAACTGCAACAAAGTCAAAAGCCATAGTTTTTAATTTTTTTTTTTTTGGGAATTTAATTGAATTAAAGCAAAAAATGTCGGAAATAGCATCAAACTTTAGAATAAGTTTATATTAGCTCGAATTGGTCACCTTTGACACGGATTATGGGTTTCAAACGGCCAATGAAACCGTCACACTCTGCCCGAATGTTGCTCTGCGGTATTTTGGTGATCGAGACTTTGGTATTTTTTAGTGTCGCCTTGCTTTCCAAAATACTCCAGGCACGATAGTCCAACGGATCGGTATCCGGATATTTTGTTGGCCATTGTGCGCTGGAAATGAAGCGAGGAACCTCATTTTGTAACCCTTCTTGGGTGACGCGTGCTGACTCCTGTTGGAATGTCCAAGATCTGCGGCAAAAATGTTTGTGTGCGCAAGGCTTTAATACACCCTCCAGAATGTTTTCGCGATAATATTCGGCATTTATTCTGATGTCACGGTCTATTAATATGAGCGGAGAGCGGCCCACACCATCACCATGGCCGGCGCTTGAGTTCTGGGGGCCAACCGAATGTGCACGTTTCCAGCTGACCTCTTTGGCAAGTAAACAGGATCATTTAGTATGTTTACAAACTGCTGGACAACGAATGTTTTCTCATCGGAGAAAACCAAATTCGGCAGTTCACCATTTTCGCTCCAAGCGAGGCAACTCTTTAGCTCTTTTGAGTCTATTTTCTTTACGTTGCTGTGTAAGTTCTTGCACTTTTTGGAATTTCAATAGCTTTACCCCGAGCTCATTTGTCAATATTTGTCGAATGGAATATTGCGATATGCTCAACTCACGAGCCATTTTTCGGCCACTGCGACGCGGGTTTCGATCAAGTCGCTTTTTTACTTTTCGAACTATTTTTGCCGATGTTGCTGTTTTCTTCCGCCCACTTCCTTGACGTCGGGCTACGCTACCAGTATCACGGTAAAGAGCGATGGTACGAGACACAAAAGATTTATTCACATTTAAATGCTGAAGTGCTCTAACGATAGCCACTTGTGTTTTTCCAGCCAAATGTAAATAAATCACAATATCACGCTTAAATTCAATCACGAATAACTTTTTTTCTGGAAAATTCTCACCAAAATGCTTTTGTACGCTTGTAAACAATGTAATGAGCTGTCACTGGAATAATTTAAACAGCTGTCGGACGAGTGGGTAAGAAATGACAGCAGTCTTAAGTTGGGTGGAGTTCTTTCATCTCACCCTGTACAAATCAGTAACCCTGCTCTCTTTATTCGCCTGTTTTTTGGGAAATTGTCCCATGGAATTTGAGTACTTTTGGGTTCATAGATTCTTTTTAAAAAAAACATTTGCTGCAACAACTTATAAATCAAATAGCCTCAATATGTATTCTGGAAACTACATAACATACATACACATATTTAATACTAGTAGACATAACTTATTATTTCTTTCTGTTTTGATTTAATTTCTTTGAAATCAACTTATTTAGGTTTTTGTTTTGATACCTATCATGATGAACATGAGCATTATTAACATTTGCAAAAAAAAAAAACAAAATTTGTTCAGTTTCATAATTTTCTTTGTAAATTTTTAAATATTTTTTGTGCGTCTATATGTTCTTAGATTACATGGAGATTCTTTAAAAGGAATAGTGAAAGACTTTGACTTAAATGAATTAATGACCAGAAACTTTAAACAGTTTCATACACAATTGTGGTGCATACTTTAAGGATGCAAGAAACATAATGTTCATCCCCAAAGTCTTTCACTTACAATATTATGCTTTAATGTAATTTTTGCAAGGTTTAATTTTCTTTATGTTTTAAATATTGGTATATTATTGTTTGTTTTGTATTATTTTTTTTTTTTCTAATAAAAAATTCTTTTTGTTTTCATTTTCTCATATATTCACTCATACATACATCTTCAATATCATCATCATCATCTACGTATCTCTTTTCAATGGCAATGGTTTCATATTATGGCTATCGATAATATCCTGGGGTGTTATTAATCCTTTGGTGTAAACATGTGCATTGTTTCTAACACACAATACATATTTCCTGTTTCCTTTCACAACAAAAATTTTGTTCGAATAACTTCATTCGATGAACACTAATACTTTTTCAATCCTACACAAACACACACATTCACCATCACATCTTCGTCCTTCATATGCCTTCATGTTTGTTTTGAAACCAAATGGAAAATTCATTTAAATGAAGTGAAGCGTTCACGTACCCGCGAAGGATTTACAGTTGAAAGACTTACAACGGCATAGTTTTTACGTTGCTCCATCACCAGCCATTTTTTAGTTTTGGTTTTAATGGTTAGTGTGCAATATGTTTTTTTACTTTATTTTGTTTGAGTTCGGAGTTTATTTTGTGCCAGTTATAAATATTAAAGACTTTTTTATAAATTTGTTTTATTTTTTACTAATATTACTAAAATACGCATGTGATCTATACTTTTCTTATAAGTGTTTGCTTGTTTTTGGTTTAAAAAAAAACTCTAAAGGCTATTATCCAAAAATTTGCTAGAGTCTAATGTAAAGTTATTTTTTCTCCATTTGTGTTAAGATTTTTGTACCATACTTTAAGGCGCGTCACACAATTTGCTATATGAAAGGAAATGTTTTTTAGTATAGCATAAAGTAATACATTTAGGCCCGTTCTTAAATTTTTCTTTATAGTCCATTTTGTTTGTCCCTTACTTTAGGGAAAGTAAAGGTGAATTTTACATTATCGGGTTTTCATTATTAAATCTTTCCTTTTTTGTCATAAGCCATTACAATATTCAAATGCGAAACTTGAAAAAAAATTGGTGAACAATGGCTAAAATAATCAAAATACCGAATATCGGGAGGTACCGTTATATGGGGGCTATACGAAGATGTGGACCTGCACAGACAATTTTCTGTCTTAGGCTGTAGTATCCATTACGAACTTCAAATAACAAATTTGAAACAATTCCGGTAAATAATGTCGCTAAAATTATCAAAATACCGAATATCGGGAGGTGCCTCTACATGGGGGCTATACGAAGGCGTGGATCTACATGGACAATTTTCTATCATAGGCTGTAGTATCCAATACGAACTTCCAATACCAAATTTGCATCATTTCCGGTGAATAATGTAGCTTAAATCACCGAAAATAGCGAGTTACCGTTATATGGGGGCTATACCAAAACGTGGACCTACAAGAAGTAGAATCTGGCCTTTGATCAATTTGATCAAAATTTTGATATTCCTTGATTGCCGACTCAGTAATCGTCTTTAGGTAAAGTAGAATATCAATCGAAGAAAAGTTTAAGAAGTGATTGAGCTAACTTAGAGTCTTTATAGCCTTGCTGACAGAGAGTATTTCCAGACGAAATCATAGGGAGTATTTCTAGGCGAACTAACAGGGAGTCTTTATAGACGAGCTGCCTGACAGTGAGTCTTTATAGACGGGCTGACAGGGAGTCTTTATAGACGGGCTGACAGGGGTCTTTATAGACGAGCTGGCAGACAGGGAGTTTTTATGGACGAACTGGCTGGCAGGGAGTCTTTATAGACGAGCTGTCTGGCAGGGAGTCTTTATAGACGAGCTGGCTGCGGGGGGTCTTTATAGACGAGCTGGCTGCGGGGGGTCTTTATAGACGAGCTGGCTGCGGGGGGTCTTTATAGACGAGCTGGCTGACAGGGAGTCTATATAGGCGAGCTGGCTTTATAGACGAGTTGACAGGTAGTCCTTATGGACAAGTTGACAGGGAGACTTTAAAGGCGAACTTAAAGGGGTATTTTATAGAAGAGACGAATGAAGTCTTTTATAGACAAGCATGAAGGAGACTTTTATAAACGAAAAAAAGTGTCTTTTTAGACGAGCAAAAAAGAGTATTTTTAGACGAGCTGAAGGGAATTCTTTATGGACGAGTGGAAATGAGTCTTTATAGGGTGTCTGTGATAGATCTGTATAGACAAGTTGAAACGAGCGAATCTTTGATTGAAATGAGGGAGTCTTTACAGGCGAGTTGAAGGGAAGGCGTCCTCACAGACGAACTGAAGAAAATATTGTTTTAGGCGTTGTTTTTACGTTTAATGCCTCCATATAACGATAGCTCCAGATTTTCAGTATTTTAAATGTTTTGGGTCCCAATACCCAACGAAATCTGCTGAAATCTGACATATGTTTTCTCTGTGGGTAGATTTGATTCTCGAAAAACTATTCAGTATGCATCGAACTTTAGGTGTACTACCCATTTAAGAGTATCACCTGATTTTCCCTATTTTAAAGCTCTCGGTCCCAATTTTCGAACTATAGCAAATCGTTTGAACTCTTCGAAAAAAAAAATAAAGGTAACCTTTTTAGTACACTTCAAATAAGCTGGAATTTCGGATCCTTTTTGGGTAAATTAACTACTCTCAAAAAATTTGAGCTAGGGGGATAATGGAATTTTAATATTTTGGGGATTTTGAGAATATTCTTTTATTTCAAGTTTTCACACAACGGTGAACATTGGGATATTTGTACTTATTTTATCCTACCTTGAGCTTACTGACCTAAAATTTGAGAATCCAAACTAAATAAAAGTTCGTGAGATTTTTTTAATTTAATTTTTTTTTTATTTCGATATTCTGTCACAAATTAAGCATATTGAGGAGCATATTTTTCATAGGCAGCAACATAAGCAGCCTTGGCAGCATCTTGGCTCATGCCCTTGTTGCCGTTCCAGGCATTCCATTTAGCTTTGCCCTTCAAGTCCAAAGCACCAGGTTGGGCAACATTGCAGTCACCAACTGTGGCCTGTTTGTAGAGACCATAGAATTCCAAGAAGACATTGTCTGGGGGAGTCTTGGTGAAGGATTTGGCTTTTTGGGTGGCGGTTACAAACTAAAAAACAATACAATTCAATAAAATTTCAATTTAAAAATTCAAAAGTGATCATTTAACTTACATCCATTGTTGTTTCTGGGCTTTAGATCTAATATTAAAAAAAAAAATTAAGGAAAAAAAAATAAATTATATTTCTTTGTGAGATCTTTAGTGTTTAGCTTTAGCTTACCAGTTGTATTGAAGAACAAGCTGTTAATGCTAGTTTATTTGCTTGCTGTTGTCCATTTTATACCTTGACTTATGTGTCATGATATTGCCATCGTTTATTTGCCCAAGCTTATCGTTGCAGGTCGGTTCAAAGTCTTAGAAAAAATTCTCCAAATACAATATGTGTGTCATAGATATCGGCGAACTGCAATAAAAGAAATAATAGATCATAAAAAACTGTGGGGGTCTGATAATTCACTTAGTAACCGCCATCGCCGATTGGCCTTAAATAAATGCTCAATATAGGTCAAATTATAAGGGAATTCTCTGGAATTCTAGCACTGTTGTCCTCTTTAAATAAAAACAAGTAAAAATGTTGTAAGTTCGGCAGGACCGAACACTCTCCACTATTGGGAACGAATTTGGCAATTTAAAAAAAAAAACAAATAAAAAAGCTGTAAGTTCGGCCAGGTCGAACTTTGAATACTCTCCACCATTTGGTACGAATTTAACAATTTTCAAAAAAAAAAAAAAAAAAAAAAAATATAAAAAATAAAAGGATTTTAAAATTCTGTTAAAATCATGTAGCCGTATATTAGAGTCTATATGGCGACGTGGACCTGCATAGGCAACTTTTGTCACAAGGCAACTTATATCACAATATTCAAATGCGAAACTTGAAAAAAATCTGTTTACAATGTAGATAAAATCGTCAAAATCCTCGAATATAGGGAGGTACCAAGGTGGTTATAAAACGTGGATCTGCACAGAAAATTTTTTTTCATAGGCTGTTATATCGAACTTCACGAACATCAAATGCGAAATTTGAAACAATTCCGATAAATAATGTCGCCAAAATCATCAAAATACCGAATATCGGGGTGTACCGTTATATGGGGGCTATACGAAGACGTGGACCTGCACAGACAATTTTCTGTCATAGGCTGTAGTATTCATTACGAACTTCAAATACCAAATTTGAAACCATTCCGGTAAATAATGTCGCTAAAATCATCAAAATACTGAATATTGGGGGGTACCGTTATATGGGGGCTATATGAAGACGTAGACCTACATGGCTTATTTTCTGTCGTAGGATGTAGTATCCATTATGAACTTCAAATACCAAAATTGAAGCAATTCCGGTAAATAATGTGGCTAAAATGATCAAAATACCGAATATCGGGGGGTACCGTTACATGGGGGCTATACGAAGACGTGGACCTACATTGCCCATTTTCTGTTTTGTGCTGTAGTATCTATTAAAAACTTTAAATACCAAATTTGAAACAATTCCGGTAAATAATGTAGCTAAAATCATCAAAATACCGAATATCGGGAGGTACAGTTATATGGGAGCTATCCGAAGACGTGGACCTATATGGCCCATTTTCAATACCAAAAGTCCTGCAGACATAGTACACATTTGAGTAAAAGTTTATCAACCTACTTCATTTCGTTCGGAAGCTAGAGTGATTTCCACAGACGGACAGACGGATAGACGGACAGACGGATAGACGGACAGACGGACGGACATTGATAAATCGACATAGAATTTTATGTTGATCAAGAATATATATACTTTGTGGGGTCTAAAATGTATATTTCGAGGTGTTACAAACGGAATGACAAACTTAATATACCCTCCATACTATGGTGGAGGGTATAAAAAAAACAAAAACAATAAAATCCGTTAAAAATTCTGTTAAAATCTTTAAAATACCGACTGTAGCTGTTATATTAGAGTCTATACGACGATTTGGACCTACATAGGTAACTTTTGTCATAAGTCATTACAATATTCAAATGCGAAACTTAAAAAAATCGGTGAATAATGTAGCTAAAATCATCAAAATACCGAATACCGGAAGGTACCGTTATATGGGGGCTATACGAAGACCCACGTCTTCCTCCACAGACAATTTTTTGTCTTAGGCTTAGGCCTTACGAACTTCAAATACCAAATTTGAAACAATTCCGGTCAATAATGTCGCTAAAATCATAAAAATACCGAATATCGGGGGGTACCGTTATATGGGGGCTATACGAATACGTGGACCTCCACAATTTTCTGTCTTAGGCTGTAGTATCCATTACGAACTTCAAATACCAAATTTAAAACAATTCTGGTGAATAATGTCGCTAAACCCATCAAAATACTGAATATTGGGAGGTACCGTTATACCAAAACTTAGGCCTACATGGCCCATTTTTAATATGAGAAGTCCTACACACATAATATACATTTAAGTAAAATTTTATCAACCTACTGCATTTCGTTCGGAAGCTTGAGTGATTTACACAGACGGAGAGAGTTTTATGCTGATCAAGAATATATTTACTTTGTGGGGTCTAAAATGTATATTTCGAGGTGTTACAAACGGAATGGCAAACTTAATATACCCTCCATACTATGGTGGAGGACTGTTATGAAATGCATCCTCTGATTGCACAGAGAGAGAGGAATACGCTATGTTAATCTTGGTCAATGAAAATTTAATAATTTTAATTATATTAAATTTCGAAATTATTTTAAGTTATGGTTTAAATTTTTGAATTAACTGCGAATGATTTTTTTTATTTTTTTGCAATTTGAATACTAACCGAATGCAGCATGATTCTGTAACTGAACTGTAATTACAACCAACTAATTGTGTTTTTTTCCCTCAAATTTCTTTCCAGTGCGTCGTACTCTCAAAAACGGTTTAACCGAAGAAGAGAAACTACAAGTTGCAGCTTTAATAAAGACTTACTAAAGGTAGCCCTAGGTCGGCTGAGCGACAGCTTGTCTCTAGATGCTGAAATTGACATAAATAATTTCCTACAAAGTAGACTGAATACGGAATCATGGACAACCATTATCACATCTTTCTCAAAAAATAAAACGAATTTCTATAAAAGACGATCTCAAGAACGAAAGTACTTGTATTTGCAAAATATGATGGGGTGCGGAATGACCGAATGAATATAAAACAAAAAGTACATGTGGCATTGCAAAAACACGAGAATCCAGTAAAACAAAGCATATAGCGATTATAACTGCGGGTATTTTTCTTTTATTGTAACTTCAAATGAACCAGAAACGAACGACTTACCACAATATCATAATTTCAATGTAATATACCTATAGATATAGAGTACATCGCAAGGATGTACCAATTAGAAATATTTAATATTATTTCTTCTCCTCTAATGTAATTGAGACTGTGGAAATACTGATTGATCTATGTAAGGTGGCTTATTCTTCTTTCTACGTTTTATGCAGACCAATCAATATTTTTGTTTCTTCAATTTAACAAAACCCAACAAAAAAAAAAAAAAAACAATGTAATATTAGTTTGTAATTTGAATTTGTTAAATATGCAGTTTTTTTTTAATTTTGTTGTTTATTTATCATTGTAAAGTAATTGTGTAATTATAATTAAACAAGTAACGTATTTTCCCTAAAATCCATAAAAAAATCAAAAAACATATATCTTACAAATAATAAAAAAAACATATAATTTATTTCTTAGATAAACTTACAAAACTTAATTGCAGTTTTTAAATTAAAAAAAAAGAAAAAAAAACAAAAATTATAATCTAACGAAAACCAAGTAAGATTTCAATAAAATCAAATAAAAATCCAAATAATGAGTTTTCTTTTGCAATTTTTATATTGAGCTATATTCAATGGAAGTGTTTTCATGTAATATGACAATTCCAGTGTTTCATATGCAAAGTCGTAAAATATCTGATATATTTTTTTCATTATTCTAAATTCATCAATTAAAAAAAAAATCTCTCGAAAAATACCGTTCAAATTAAAACCTTATATGTGGACTATACGAAGGCGTGGTGCTGGATAAGTAATTTTCTGTCATAGGCTGTAGTACCGATTCCGAACTTCAAATACGAAATTCGAAACAATTCCGGCGAATAATGTCTCTAATATCATTAAAATACCGAAAAAAGGGAGGTACCATCGTATAGGGGCTATACTAAAACGTGGACCTGCATAGACAATTTTCCGTCATAGTTTGAAATACGAAATTTGACGCAATTCTGGGGAATAAAACTGCGAAAATCCTGGAAATGCCGAATATATCGGGGTAGCGTTATATGGGTGCTATAATAAAAGAGTAGATCCATATAGGCAATTCCCTTCCAGAGGTAAAGTACTCAGAGAGAACTCCTTGTGTGGATTTTCAGACTATTCCATTGAAACATGTTGCGGTGTAAGTTCTCGCACTTTTTGAAATTTCAATGGCGTTACCATCCTTGCAAAAAATGATCACTTTTTGGTATAACCATCATATGATTTAAGCTATTTTCGGGGTCTTGACCACTTTTTTTCATTTTTTTGGCCCTTATTTGGCATCTTTGTGTCAAAGGGGGTAGAAAACCTCTTCTCACGAAATTTTCAATTTTCGGAGTAGGGTCCCTCTTGGTCTTGACCACATTCATCAATTGATTTGGCTAAAAAATTGCATTTAGGCTACTCTGGGGTAGAGAACCATCATACAGATAATTGTCCACATGGGCATTTTTAAATATAGTTCCCACATTAGTGTACCCCCAACTAATGTGTGGTCAGAAATGAAAATTTTGTATTCTATTTGTAACCCCATGAGAACATTGGTTGGGAAAGTGGATTTAGGATGTACGTCTATATGAAATAAACTGCAAAATGTCAAATTGGGACTCATTCAGTCGGAAATTGTGGCAGAAACATGAAAAATATTACGAATATTAGAAAGTAATACGGGAGCGAACATTTGTCATTGATGAAAAATGTGGACTTAATGGGGTCTCCAAACCACAATATAAATGAGCAAAAAAATTAATTGCCATCTTACGGTAATGGGTTTAAAAGAGTAATTATTTTTTATTATTCTGAAATGATTCTGCCCTTAACTATGAGATGGACAAAACTAAATAACACGCAGCGCGGCATTCTGAACGTTGGAAATACAAACTCCAAATTACAGCTCCTTTGAATGGAAAAATGTTGCTAAGCTCTTTACAAGACCAAAAATTGAGCTTGGTTTTCTTGTGAGTACTTAATCCCTTGAAAGAGAATTATTTGTATAGGTCCACGATATCGAATAGCCCACATATAACGGCACCCTCGATATTCGGTATTTTGATGATTTTAGCCACATTTTTCGATTGAATTGTCTGAAATTCCACGCAAGGAGTCCCTTATGTGTATTTCACCCCCTGAAAGAGAGTTGTCTATATAGCTTCACGATATCGAATAGCCCCCATATAACGGTACCCCCCGATATTCGGTATTTTGATGATTTTAGCCACATTTTTCAAAGGAAATTTTCTGAAATTCCACACAAGGGGTTTTTTGTGAGCACTTCACCCCCTGACAGAGAGTTCTCTATATAGGTTAGCGATATCGAATAGCCCCCATATAACGGTACCCTCGATATTTGGTATTTTGATGATTTTAGCCACATTTTTCGATTGAATTTTCTGAAATTCCACACAAGGAGTTCCTTGTGAGTACTTTACCCCCAGGCATAGATTTGTCTATATAGGTCCACAATATCGTATATCCCCCCATATTTCGGCACCTTCCGATATTAGGTATTTTAAAGATTTTAACCGAATTTTTGATGGATTTTGTTTTTGTTTTTTTTGAAAATTTTGTAAGTCGTTCCAAATGTTGGAGGGTATTCAAAGTTCGGCCCGGCCGAACATAGTGCTTTTTTAATTGTTTTATATAGGTTTTTAACACTCAAATTAAAGTCTGTGGCTGAATATAAAATCAGGCTTTTCAAAATATATAAAACCGACGGTTAGTGAACATTTTGAATATTTATTTCCATTTAGAAATTACTATTGTGCTTTAAAAAATGTGCATTAAAGACTAAAAGTACGGCCGGCAACGGGGACCCAACCAGCTAGTATCTCCCATATAATGTGAAATTAGTATACGATTTTTTTCAAATTTCACATATCCCAATATTTTTACTAACGCAAGTTCCGATGTGAAAATGCTAGATATCGGTCTACCCCTTCTGGTACCTCTCCCACAATGGTTCGCGGTTTGCAATACTTATATCTCTGATAATGTGCGAAACAAATCGGCGTTCCTTTTCAAATTTGTTATATCTAATTTTTTTCCATAAAATATCTAATGTGAGTATGGGATTTATCGGATCACTCATTCTTGTACCTCTTTCATAAAAAGAAAAAATTGTGATGAACAATTATTCCCAAAAAATTGATTACAAATTTCTAGATCTCTCGATCTAGATTAAAGATGGCATTTATCGGTTCAATGTTCCTGGAAACTAACTCACATCTCATTGAGCAGATATTTGTTATAATATTTGACGGTAAGCAGTTTGCCAACATTAAATGTATATCTGTGTATTAATGTTCAAATGTCCGAAAATTTTCACTATCAGGGAATCCCTTGTAATAATAACTGATGAATAAGACATTACGCAATAAACAACCTATTAACCATGTTACCCAAAACCGAATGCATGTACAAGTTTTCTAGCTAGACGAATTATCAGACCCCCACAGTTTTTATGATCTATAATAGGTTTTATTGCATCTCATCGATATCTATGGCATAGGAGTTGAGTTTTGAAAAAGTTGCTAAGACTTTGAACACAATTGCAACGATAAGCTTTGGGTAATAAACGAAGGTTATATCAAGTCCCTTTAGTCAGGTATAAAATGGACAACGGCAAGCAAATAACTAGCATTAAGAGCTTGTTCTTCAGTACAACTGGTAAGTTAAAGCTAAATATTAAATTTCTCCCAAAGAAATATAATTTAATTTTTTTTTATTTTTCTTTAATTTATGTAATATCAGATCTAAAGCCCAGAAACAATAATGGATGTAAGTTAAATGATTACTTTTGAATTTTGAAATTGAAATTTTATTAATTTGTATTTTTTTATAGTTCGAAACCGCCACCCAAAAAGCCAAATCCTTTACCAAGACTCCCCCAGACAATGTCTTCTTGGAATTCTATGGTCTCTTCAAACAGGCCACCGTTGGCGACTGCAATGTTGCCCAACCTGGTGCTTTGGACTTGAAGGGCAAAGCCAAATGGAATGCCTGGAACGGCAACAAGGGCATGAGCCAAGATGCTGCCAAGGCCGCTTATGTTGCTGCCTATGAAAAATATGCTCCTCAATATGCTTAATTTGTTAGAAGAATATTCAAATAAATTAATTTAAATTAAAAAAAAAAAAAAAACAACAACTGCTGGAGCTTATTGACTCAGAATCGCTTTCCCCTATTAAAACTCTTCAAACTAAGAATTCGTTGAGCTCTTGTGGGAAAGATAGCAGAAGAAGTGAAATGATATGGCCTACCAAAAGAAATCGCTCCAGATTTATTGCTTACAGAAATATTTGAACGCACCTAGAGGAGGATTGGAAATTTGTTTCCCATTTTATAATTCTTGTAACCCTTTGTGGATGTTACAGAAGGATTGGGCCGATAAGTCCCGTATTCACATTTTCACTTACTAAATGGGTGGTAATTTAAAGGAAACATTGGGTAAATATTTTGCAGTTTATTGGAGTTATAATTATTTAAAATTTTGACCGATTGTTGGGGAGCTACCACAAAGAGTGAAGCGCAATTCAAGAAACAATCGCTTTTTTACCTTTTTCTGATAAAAAAATGATACGACCAAGGACCAAATTTATAATTTATCGGATAGTCCATTAGTTCTTTGTGTGATTTAATGTTTATGGGCGAGGTGCACTTTTGTCAATTTTTGCATATGACGGTTATCAAATACGCCCTAGAAATATCTATGACAAATTTGGTAAAGGGGGGAAATGTTTGTGCGTTTGATTGTTTGTAATTTATGGACTCGAAAATCGCTAAACAGAATTCAAAATTTATTACAGGATCGCCTGAAAGTAACATAGGCTATATAAATTTTTGAAATTCCACTGGAAACTGGAGGTATAGCATCAGAATCGGAGGTACCTGGAAACAATTTAGATTTTTGTATGCAAATATCTTTTGATCGGTTATAGAAACAGTCTTCAAATTCGGATAGTGTAACGAAATTTATTACGAAAATAAGTGTTCCTTATTATATTGAAATCGGTCTGGATATAGCTCCCATATATATTTTTTTCGGCCGATTTCATGTATTTGATGCACCAAACACGATATTTATCTCTAATTTCAATGAAATTTCGAATGTGTAACGGAATTTGATGCAAACTAAACGTTACAAATTATATTGAAATTGATGCAGATTTATTTATTGCTCCCACATATATTTTCGTCCGATTTTATATATTTGATGCACCAAACACGCTATGTATATTAAATTTCAATGGAATTTGGAATGTGTAACGGAATTTGGTAAAACAAATCGGAAAATAATATTGAAATCGGTTCAGATTTGGATATAGCTCCCACATATATTTTCAGCCATTGCTTATACCGGCTGAGATAAAAACTGCAGCAAAGGCAAACGCCATCATTTTTACATTTTTTTAAATATTATTGAATGAAAGCAAAAAATGTCGGAAATAGCATCAAATTTCAGAATAAGTTTAGTTTGTTCGAATTGGCTACCTTTGGTACGAATTATTGCTTTCAAACAGCCAATGAAACCGTTACACGCTGCCCGAATGTTGCTCTGCGGTATTTTGACCAATTCCCGACGGAACGCTTGCTTGTTTGCGTGCCCAAGGCTTTAATACACCCTCCAGAATGTTTTCGCGATAATATTCGGCATTTATTCTGGTGCCACGGTCGATTAATACGAGCGGAGAGCGACCATCGGCTGTTATGGCGGCCTACAGCATCACATGGCCAGCTCTTGAGTTCAGGTGGCCAACCGAAGTGCACATTTTCAGCTGACCTCTTTGGCAGGTATACACGACCATTTTGTTTCTTTACAAAATGCTGAACAACGAATGTTTTCTCATCGGAGAAAACAAAATTCGGCAGTTCACCACTTTCGGGCAAGCGAAGCAACTCTTTAGCTCTTTTGAGTCTATTTTATTTCTGTTGCGGCGTGAATTCTTGCACTTTTTATACCCTCCACCATACTATGGAGGGTATATTAACTTTGTTATTCTGTTTGTAACTCCTCGAAATACTCAAGTCAGACCCAACAAAGTATATATATTCTTGATCAGCGTAAAATTCTAAGTCCATTTAGCGATGTCCGTCTGTCTGTTGTTTTCAGGCTATCTTTCGAACGAATTGAGATAGGAGGCTAAAATTTTGCACACATGTTTATTTTTCCAGTAGGCGGATTAAGTTCGTAAATGGCCCCATATAACGGTACCTCCTGATATTCGGTATTTTGATGATTTTAGCGACATCATTCACCGGAATTGTTTCAAATTTGGCATTTAAAGTTTGAAATGGATACTACAGTCTGTGACAGAAAATTGTCTATGCAGGTCCAGGTCTCTTTATAGTCCCCATATACCAGTACCTCTCAATATTCAGTATTTTGACGAGTTTAGGTACAATACCCACCGAAATTGTTTGAGATGTCGTTTTTGAAGTTTGTAATGGATGCTGTGTAAATGATGCCTGTGACAGAAAATTGTCTATTTTGGTCCAGGTCTTCGCACAGCTCCAATACAACGGAACCTCCCTATATACGATATTTTGATGATTTTACCTACATTATGCTTTAGTGCTATTTAACTTGTTTGAATTTCAATGGCTCTACCCCGAGTTCATTTTTCAATATTAGCCGAATGCAATATTGCGATATGTTCAGCTCATAAACCATTTTTCGGCGACTGCGACGTGGGTTTCTATCAAGTCGCTTCTTTACTTTTCGAACCATTTCTTCTACGCTACCAGTATCACGGTAACGAGCGATGGTGCGAGACACACACGATTTATTCACATTTAAATGCTGGAGTGCTCTAACGATAGCCACTTGGGTTTTCCAGCCAAATATAAAGAAATCACACTATCACGCTTGAATTCCATCACGAACAACTTTTTTTCTGGACAATTCTCACCAAAATGCTTCTGTTAGCTTGTAAACTATTATATTGCTGTTACTGGAATAATTTTAACAGCTGTCGAACGAGTGGCTTAGGAATGACAGCTCTCTGAACTTAGTTTCAGTTTTTTCATCTCACCCTGTAAATTCTTGATCAGCATAAAATTCTATGTCGATTTTACGATGTCCGTCCGTCTGTCCTTCTGTGGAAATCATTCTAGCTTCCGAACGAAATTAAGAAGGTTGATAAAATGTATTTTATATCTGCAGTACTTTTGGTATTAAAAATGGGTGATGTAGGTCCACGTTTTGGTATAGCCTCCATATAATAGTACCTCCCTATTTTCGGCATTTTGGTTTTCATTGATTTTAAAAGTATTTGTTAGCATTTTTTAAAACAATAAATACATATACAAAATTGAAAGAAATCGGGCACACTTAGAAAAAAAAAATTGCAATAAGCTGGTAGCTCTACTTTACCTTTTTATTGTACCATGATATACCCTTCATTTTAGCTTGCTTCTTCAATTATTGATTTGCGAACAGAAAAAGATTTTTTTACCCTTTAATTTTTTTAATCTATTTTACTTCATACAAAAAAGAAACTAAGTAAAAAAACAAGATTCTTAACGCTATTGTAATAAATAATATTTCTTAACTTGTAAACAGTCATAAATTATGAGTGAATGAATGAATGCTTCGTAAATGATAAGATACTTCCAACAAAACACACTTAAAAGCCATTTGTACAGGGTTGTTGTACATAATCTAGGCAGAAGCCTCGATTATCTATATCCGTAGGCGCCTCGATACCATCAGTGTGGAAATATAAACGGAAAGGTCTTACGCTTGCTAAACAACAAATGTGAAAAGAAAAATTACTCATTTTATTAACAATTTGTTAAATCAAAGTAGAAACTCACATTGAACCGTTTTCTGCACCATGCCAACTTCAGCACTAAATGTACCACCGCAAACACGATCTTCACAGGCACTTTGCGGTGGAATACGATCAGCGGAACGCATGCAACCAATCAACAACCAATCTTGAATGCAGGCATTTTGAGTAACCTGCGTTCCACCGCCAACCATGGTTCCGGTTGGATTATTCGAGTTGCCTGACAATGTGAAAGATCTTGAACGGTTATTTTCTGTAAGAAAAATGAAAATAAACAAAAAGAATTATAAGTTTCCACAAATTGTTAAAATTGACCTATGACAGGACTTACCCAAATCTGGACATGCATTATATTGTATGCCACAAAAGTTTCTCTCGGTTCGTATACAAATACTGTAATCCTGATTGGATAATTGTCTACCAGATACAGTGTTAAAGTTGAAGCTACGCACCCGACCACTAATTCCGGTATAATACTGCAAGCAACCCTGTTCAGCGCGAGCAATGCTTCCGCAATGTATCTGTGTTACTCGTATTCGCCAGATTCGTGGAAATGTACCACTTGTGATGACCGATATAACAATTGGATTACTCTGCCCAAGGCCAGCATCTATGTACACTGAAATTATGAAAAAACAAGTAAGCAAAGGCTACAGTCGAGCGGGGCCGACCGTTGAATACCCTACAACACTATAATAAATGATACAGTTTATATAGGCCAGATGCTCGAAAGAATTCCACAAGATATTGTGACAAATAATAAAAGAAAACCATCAGGTTTCGTTCTAATTTTCGAATAATAGAAACTATTTGGCTATTGCAATGACCGGTAACCTCCATTCAAATGTGCATGAGGATCGGGCGATAATTACGACCTTCTGACAATTTTGCGGTTTTTTGGTCCATTTCAACCCCTAAATATATGGCGATTATCTCCAAAAAGAGTAGGCTTCTATTCTGACCTTCATCTTATCCCCATGCAAAATTTCATAAGGATCGGGCCATAAATGCGATCTGTATATGATATCCTGATATCCTAACTACTTAGTTTTGTTAGCTGTAGAAATATTACCAAATGTTTAATTCAAAATGAAAATATGCCAAAAATATGACAAAATTGAAAAAATATGAGAAAATTTTACAAAATCAATGTTTTCATCTTTAGAGAGATATTTTAATGCGATTTTTCAGACGTTTTTTCTTTCCTGCCAAGAGGCCATTCTGAATTAATGAGAACTGTCGAAATCAGTTCAGCCGTTCTCGACATATAAGAGATTTTTCAAGCATATCTTCTTTGATAAACATATATGTCGCACATATTTTGCTATATATCCGTTTTGTTGGATGTTAACATCAATGTAAAGGTCAGAAGTAACCTTGTCATGGCTTTGTGATTTCGCCGGGATTTAAAATATTCACGGTTTAATGAAAAATTTTGAATTTTTTCAACACAAAAGATATGGTCTATTTTACCCGCTAAATATTATCCGATGACCACCCAAATTGGTAGACTTCTTCCCCGCCCTAAACTCTAGCTACATGCGAAATTCCGCGTCGATTGGTCTATAATTGCGACCTGTATAGCAACTGCAAAATCAGGAATTTTTTTAGTTTTTGGTCCATTTCAACCCCTAAATATTATGCGATCATCTCCAAAAGAAATAGGGTTCTATTCTGACCTTAACCCCACCTACATTCTAAATTTCGTGAAGATCGGGCCATAATTGCGACCTGTAGAGTGATTACAATTTAACATGGACAGACGGACAGACGGACAGACGGACAGACGGACGGACGGACATACATAGCTAGATCGACTCAGCTCGGCGAGCTAGGAAGATCCATATATACTTTCCTATATGGGAAACCAATATTTCGAGGTGTTACATAAATTCTGGCCCAATCAAACTTATAATACCCCCAACACTTAGTGTTGTAGGGTATAAATATATATTTTGGAATCGAAATAAAAGGTTCATAGTAATAGTTTATGTCTTTTTATGACGATTTTTGCTTAAAGTCAAATTTACATTGAGGAAAGGACATTACTTCGAAAACTATTTTTTTTAAAGAATACTATTGTTAATGTAGTTCAGATTTAAAGTTTGAAAATCGCACATTCAGTAAAAATCAGAGGATACAAACCATTTGATACGGCCAAAAACGCGCCTCCCCGAAATAACGGTTTTAGACCGAAGATCCCTTTGGAAAATCCGTTTCAGGACATTTTGAGTCGATCTGGGGATGTCCGTCGGTCTAGCTGACTGGTGCGCACGAAGGGAATATCCGATTCGGTCCAGACTTGGTATATCGTAATATTATTGTCAAACTTAGATTGAGTTCGGAGATGGGCGATATAGGGAGGTATCAGTCCCCCACAAAAGGTCAACATTTTCATAAAAAGTAATTTTCGGTATACAACAAGAACAGATTAAACAAATTTTTTCAAATTTTGATACCCTCAGCTATATGGCTAATGAGGGTATATACAATTTGATACGGTCAAAACGTGCCTAGTTGAAATAACGGTTTTAGACCCTACGTCTCTTTGGGCCAAATCCGTTTCAGAACATTGGAGTCGATTAGCGATGTCCGTCAGTCTGTCTGTCTGGTGTGCACGATAACTCTCGAAGGGAGTATCCGATTAGGTCCAAACTGGGCACATCGTAATATTTTTCTCAAACTTAGATCGAGTTCGGAGATGTGCAATATCGGTCCACTCCTTCTGGTACTTCTCCCACAAAAGGTCGAAATTGTCAAAAAACATACTTTTGACACAGAAAGAGAAAGGATAATCCGATTTTGCTCTAACTTTGCAAATCCTAATATTTGCATCATTGCTAGGTCTAGTGTGAAAATGGACAATATCGGTTCACTCTATCAAGGGTCAAAACTTTGAATAATTACAACTCTCATAAAATGTGATGTAAGAGTCCGATTGTCTTCAAATTGCACACATTCCAATATTTATATAAACCCAAGGTCTGGTCTTAAGAAGGGCAAAATCGGTCCACTCCTTCTGGTACCTCCCCCACAAATGGTCGAAATTTGCAAAAAAAGGGAAGCAATAATCTAATTTTGCTCTAATTTTGAAATCCTAGTATTTGCGTCAGTTCCAAAATGGATAGTATTGGTCCACTCCATCAACTGCCTCTCCCACAAAGGGTCAAAATTTTTAATAATTATAACTCTTAAAAAAATATGATATGAGAGTCCGATTGTCTTCAAAGTTCACATATGCTACTATTTTTATGAACCCAAGATCTGGTAGTGAGACGGAATATATCGGTCGACTCTTCCTGGTACCTCCCCACAAACGCTCAAAGCTTTGAATATCCATGAAGTTCATAAAAAGCGAAATCAACATCCGATTCCATTCCAGACATGGTGCATCTCAATAATTCCATCAACACAAGATCTGTTATAAAGATGGTAGAGATCGGACCATTTCTTTAGATACCTGCCCCACATAGGGTTCAAAATTTTGAAAAACATAACGCTCAAAGAAAGCGAAATAATCATCCAATTCTCTTCAAATTTCAGACATACAAACATTTTTGCTAACACAAGATCTGTTGTGAAGATGCTATATATCTGTGAACCCCTTCTGGTACCTCACCCACAAAGGGACAAAATGTTTAATACTTTTATCTGTCATAAATTGTGAAACAACTCAGCGCTTTTTTACAACTTACTTTATTTAAATATATGTATCCTGTCTCTCATGCCAACAGAAGTCAAAATATTTTAAAATAATCGAACATTGGCTGAAGGTATACATCTGGCAGCAAAACCGACCGATACCTTTTTACTTGTAAATATTTGTATCAGTGCTATGTTAGGTGCGAAAAAATAAAAAAATATTTCTATAAATAAACATCCGACTCTCCTCAAATGACACACATCCCAATATTTTTATTGACACAAGGTCTGGTGTGAAGATGGGATATATATTTTCCAAAAATTATTACATATCTCATGTAAAGCCGAATGAAATAGTCGATATATTTCAAATCTAGCGCATTTATATCAGAATTAGGTCAGATACGAAATGTACTCTACAAGTCAAAATATATTTAAATAAGTTAACAAGTAAGCAAAGGCTACAGTCGAGCGGGGCCGACCGTTGAATACCCTACAACACTATAATAAGTGATACAGTTTATATAGGCGAGATACTCGAATGAATTCCACAAGATATTGTGACAAATAATAAAAGAAAACCATCGGGTTTCGTTCTCTAATTTTCGAATAATAGCAACTTAAGCTAATTTGCTCATTTCCAATTTATTGGTAGATGTCGCTGGAATAGACATTTTCGTATTTAGTCTACAAAAGTTGGCAAACTATTGCACACATTGAATATTTTTGGATGGCCATCCGAAACTGCTTGGCCTTTCCAATGTGAGGTAACCCCCATTCAAATGTGCGTGAGGATCGGGCGATAATTACGACCTGCTGGCAATTTGGCAGTTTTTTGGTCCATTTCAACCCCTAAATATTTAGCGATCATCTCCAAAAAGAGTAGGCTTCTATTCTGACCCTCATCTTATCTCCATGCAAAATTTCGTAAGGATCGGGCCATAAATGCGATCTGTATATGATATCCTACTACTTAGTTTTGTTAGCTGTAGAAATATTACCAAATGTTTAATTCAAAATGAAAATATGCCAAAAATATGACAAAATTGAAAAAATATGAGAAAATTTTACAAAATCAATATTTTCATCTTAGGGAGATATATTTATGCGATTTTTTCAGACGTTTTTTCTTTCTTGCCAAGAGGCCATTCTGAATTAATGAGAACTGTCGAAATTAGTTCAAGCATATCTTCTTTAATACACATATATGTCGCACATATTTTGCTATATATCCGTTTTGTTGGATGTTAACATCAATGTAAAGGTCAGAAGTAGCCTTGTGATGGCTTTGTGATTTCGCCGGGATTTAAAATATTCACGGTTTAATGAAAAATTTTGAATTTTTTCAACACAAAATATATGGTCTATTTTACCCGCTAAATATTATCCGATGACCACCCACCCCGCCCTAAACTCTAGCTACATGCGAAATTCCGCGTCGATTGGTCTATAATTGCGACCTGTATAGTTACTGCAAAATTCGACATTTTTTCAGTATTTGGTCCATTTCAACCCCTAAACATTTGGCGATCATCTCCAAAAGAAATAGGGTTCTATTCTGACCCTAACCCCACCTTCGTGCAAAATTTCGTAAGGATCGGGCCATAATTGCGACCTGTAGAGTGATTACAAATTAACATGGACAGACGGACAGACGGACAGACGGACGGACGGACATACATAGCTAGATCGACTCAGCTCGGCGAGCTAGGAAGATCCATATATACTTTCCTATATGGGAAACCAATATTTCGAGGTGTTACATAAATTCTGGCCCAATCAAACTTATAATACCCCCAACACATAGTGTTGTAGGGTATAAAAAGTATCTGCCGTTGGTCAGTTGGCCAATATTGTTGATTTTGAATATGACCTAAGCCTGATCGGTCGATTTTGAATATGTCGACTACTTCATTAACTTTATATGAGAATGGATAACATTTTTGTAAATGTTGAAATGTGGGTGCGGTACCAGATTTTGTATTCCTTTTAATCTAATACTTGTAAAAAGTTATACCAACTAAAATTGCTATAAAGTACATAATATCACTTCGAGAAGGATTATGCTAAAAAATATCTGTCGGAGCGGAGTTCCACTAAATGGAAACATACGTCCGAAATTTTCTACATTTGGGCTGATATTAGCCATAATTTGCACAATAAACCTGAAATCGGTTTAAGGATATATATGGAAATCTGAGCTGATCTGCATAAAATTTGGCAAATGTTTTTTTCAAGCTCCATAAGATATCTTGTACCAAATTCCATTGTTGTGGTTGTGCATATTGCGCAAGTGAGGAACTAAAGCTATATCTTAACCGATATTCAAATTTGATGTACGGGCTGGCATACATAAATCGGCGGGCTGACATACACAAATCGACTGAGAATGTGATTCTATGGAGATCCTCAAAAGTAACTATGGGTCTATCTCCTTTCCTTCTCCGTGTTACCACTATGTGATCCATTTCACCTGCCAAATATTATCCGAGGCCCATCCAGAAGTTTGTCCTGTGCTAAAAACTTGCTCCACGCAAAATTAAACATTGATCGGTTCGTTTTATCCTCCTAATATTTTGCGATTGTTACCCCAAAAATGGGCTTCAATTTTGGTCTTAATGCTAAATATTGTGAGGATTGAACCATAATACTGACGGGCATAAATTACTAGATAGAATCGGCTCGATGATATATATTTTCGATATATATTTTAACTTTTTGTCAAAATCAAGGTTATAATACTGCCAACACATAGTGCTGTAGGGTATGAAAACGTTTCGTTGTCAATACATTATTTAGTAAATGTCCTATATATATTTTAGACTGATCTACTATACAAAAATCTATTTATTATTTATCCAGCCAACAATGTTACCAAATTTTCAATTGATTCGCATACTTACTGTGATCTCCAGACGAAATACCGCATATCGTAGGAACTGGACTGCTGCCGGATACTAACAATTGGTCTTGAGTACACAAATGATTCACCGACTCGGGTGGAGCTATAGAAAACATATCTAAATCTAATCTGAATTTGAAACATAAGCATTATACACACACACACACATGGAATTTATATTGTATTATTTTAGGGGACATAAAATATAATTTCTTCACCTTAGCTGACATATATCTGGATGCATTTTTTGTACCGTCACTTGACAACTGCCCGTGCCGTCGTACGTATCCGGATGATTGGGATTAACAAAATATGTTGAATTTTCTCTAATAACACCGCCACATGTCTGCAAAACTTTATGGAGAGAAATAATTTTGAATGCGATTTTTATAAATCAATTTAAGTCTTCCTTACAAACACAACAAAGTCCATAGCCACCACCACATGGGCCAGCCGGTATTCCGGCCCTCAATATGCAATCTTTATTTGGCAAACAATTTCCAATTTCTCCGGATGGTGCCATACATAGGGCGGGTCCTATGGGTACAACACTGAATATTGGTAAAACTGCAAGAAAATATGAGCAGATAATTATTGTGTGAATAGTAGATGAATTGTTGCAAATAAGTTAAAGTATTTAAAATTAAAAGTATTTATATGAAAATATCGTTTATATTTATGTGAACAAATGAATACAATGCGCCTAAAAGTATGTTAACTGATAAGAAATGACACAAAGCTTTGATAAAGGATCCATTAAATTTTAAAATTAATCGAAAAACGTCAAATTAAAGTAAATTTTCTTAGCTTATAAGAAATGTAAAAATTATTTATAAATTCACATTCAAATATTTTACCATAATTTTGAGAATATTGCTCCTAAATGTATTTAAATTTATGTTTCAACTTATCTTGTCAATCAATATACTTTTACTCTATTACATATCCTTCTGTTCTGTATTTTTGACTGACTGATTCTGTCGATGAAATACGTAGTGTTAGATACATTTGTTCGTTCATATAAATCATTCGATCCTTTTGCAAAAAAATTACTTAAAAACTTGAAAGCATTCTTCCAGCAGTGATCACCTATGTATATGTCCGTTCTGACCATTAAATGTCCGTTTTCGCTTCGTAATAAAGCGAAAACATGCTTTAATTTCTCTACAAACAATGTCAACATATGTTCAAAACGCCATTTGGTAACTAGCAACTTAAAAAGTATTAGTTGGTTTTGCCGGGAGATGTAGACCCCCAGCCAATGTTCGTTTATTATACCCTCAGCCATATTGCTAGAGAGGGTATATATCAGTTGATAGGTCAAAATGTGCATATTCGAAATAACTGTTTTAGACCCTAGGTCTCTTTGAACCAAATCCGTTTCAGGGCATTTGGAGTCGATTTAGCGATGTCCGTCCGTCCGTATGGGTAGCTGGTAAGCACGATAACTCTCGATGGGTGTATCCGATTTGGTCAAAACTTGGTACATCGTAATATTTTTGTCAAACTTAGAACGAGTTCAGATGTGGACAATATTAGTCCACTCCATTAAGTACCTCCCCAAAAAACGATCAAAATTTTGAATAATTACAATTGTAATAAAATGTGATCTAAGAGTGTGATAGTCTTCAAATTTCACACATCCATATCAAATGGAATACATCGGTATATTCCTTCTGGTAAATCCTCCACAAAAGGCCTAAATTGTTTTTTTAATATATATATATATATATATATATATATATATATATATATATATATATATATATATATATATATATATATATATATATACATAAAAAAATGTAGGCCTTTTGTGGAGGATTTACCAGAAGGAATATACCGATGTACCAGAAGGAATATACCGTGATATATGCGTCAGTTCAAATATCGATTATATCGATCCCCTCCATCAAGTGCCTCACCTACAAAGGGTCAAAATTTTGAACAATTATAACTCTTATAAAATGTGATAAGGATCCGATTGTCTTAAAATTTCACTCATCCCAATATTTTTATAAACCCAAGTTCTAGTGTTAAGACGAACTATATCGGACCACTCCTTCTGGTACCTCCCCCAAGAGTTTGAATAATCATAATAGAAGTCAAAATATATTTAAATAATCGAATATTGGCTGAGTGTATACGTCTGTCGGCAGAACCGACTGATACTTTTTAACTTGTTTAAATATATTTTGACTTCAATATGATTATTCAAAATGTTGACATTATTGGAGAGATTTCGAAGAAGTGGGCCAATATTGTCCATTTTGTATCAGACTAAAATAAATATTACAACGTCCTAGATATGGGCTATATCGACTACTTCCTTCACATTATATGAGATATGGGATAATTTTTCGAAGATGTTGAAATTTAAGTGAGGTACCAGATACAGTGAACCGAAGTGTTAAACTTCATCTAATATTGCTAAACTTACAGGGTAAGATGAAAAAACTGCAACCAACTTCAGACTGCTGTCATTTCTAAGCCACTCGTCAAACAGCTGCTGAAATTATTGCAGTGACAGCTTATTATATAGTTTACAAGCGTACAAAAGTATTTTGGATAGAATTTTCCAGAAAAAAAAAATTATTCGTGATGGAATTCAAGCATGATAGTGTGATTCCTTTCTATTTGGCTGGAAAACCACAAGTGGCTATCATTAGAGCCCTCCAGCATTTAAATGTGAATAAATCTTTTGTAGCTCGAAACATCACTCGTTACCGTGATACTGGTAGCGTAGCCCGACGTCAAGGAAGAGGACGGAAAAACGGCAACATCAGCAGAAATAGTCCGAAAAGTAAAGAAGCGACTTAATCGAAACACACGTCGCAGTGGCCGAAAAATGGCTCGTGAGCTGAACATATCGCAATATTCCATTCGGCAAATATTGAAAAATGAGCTCGGGTTATAAAATTTAAATTCCAAAAAGTGCAGGAACTTACACAACAACAGAAAGAAAATAGACTCAAAAGAGCTAAAGAGTTACTTCGCTTTGCCGAAAGTGGTGAAGTTGGTTTTGTCCGATGAGAAAACATTTGTTGTCCAGCAGTTTGTAAACAACTACAACAAAATGACCGTGTTTACTTGCCAAAGTGGTCAGCTGAAAATGTGCACCTTAGGTTGGCCACCCTCACTCAAGGGCCGGCCATGACGATGGTGTAGGCCGCCATAACAGCCGATGGTCGCTATCCGCTCGTATTAATCGACGGGGTCTCAGAATAAATGCCGAATATTGTCGCGAAAATATTCTGGGGGGTATATTAAAGCCTTAGGCACGCAAACATTTTGGCCGCAGACTTTGGACATTCCAACAGGACTCAGCACCATCGCACTTAGCACGCGCCACCCAAGAATGGTTAAAAAATGAGGTTCCTCGCTTCATTTCCAGCGCACAATGGCCATCAAAATCTCCGGATACCAATCCGTTGGACTATTGTGTCTGGAGTATTTTGGAATTCAAGATTGGCACTAAAAAATACCAAAGTGTCGATCACCTCAAGCAAGCGCTTTGCCGGGAATGGGCCAAAATACCGCAGAGCAACATTCGGGCATTTGCCGTTTGAAGGCCATAATTTGTGCCAAAGATGACCAATTCAATTGAAATTGGAGATATATAGCGTGTTTGGTGCATCAGATGCATGAAATCGGCTGAAAATATATGTGGGAGCTACATCCAAATGTGAGCCGATTACAATATTATTTGAAAAAAATTATTTTTGGGCCGAATTCCGCCACTGATTCTAAACTTCATTGGAAACGGACATGCATTTCGTGTTTGGTGCATCAAATACACGAAATCGGCCAATGCTGCAGTATATTTTGAAATTTTCAGAAAATTCTGTTCAGCAATTTCCGAGTCCATATCTACTTTTACACATATAGATTTCAGACACTATCTCCAATCTGCATCGAAAAGGGTTTAAAATCCTCTCCATCGCCTACTCATTATAACTCTTTTAAATAATCCTTGTCACTGCCACATTGAATATCATGTCGGCACCCAACTAATAAGCGTTTTTTAAGTACCGCTATTTTCATGTTTTAGCACAGCTTTTAAACAATGTTGATATTATTTGTACATAGGGTAAGGGTAAATCCAAAAAACATAATCAAAACTATACTTCAGCTTAGAATAATAAAGCATTTATATAAAAAGTATGTAAAGCGCTCTTGAATCATATTTTATTTATGTTTTTTTTTTTTCATTAATATGTATTGGCAAATATTATTTTATTTTATTTTCTCAGTTCACTGAAATAAATTAAAATTGCAATTTAAATCTCCACATACACCTTGAATCTCTTGACGAAGCGCTTAACGAAGATTTCCACTTGGTGCCAAACAAAAAATCCTTCCACGAAGTGTTTTCCACTTTTGAGGATTCACTTAACGCAAACACAATCGAACAAAACAAGAGCAGGGAATGTTTATTTGGAAACATCCTTAGCAGGGCATTCATTACACGATTTATATGATTCACAGCTCTGTCCATACGAACCGATGCGTTCTTCAAATGCGTTATAAACACGACCACGTTACGCCACAAACTGTTAGGCTTGCGCATTAACGCTAAATATTTTATACAATGTGGAAAAATGACAACATTCGAAACATTCGAAATTATCCAAGAGACCCAACCGAAGTGTTTCATTTTCATTTGTAAAAGAAAAGTTTAATGACCGTTATCAACGGTAACACATTTTTTTTTTGTCAAATCTAAACAAAGACAAAAAAGAATGATTATCACATGCAATGCCAGCTCGCTGTGACAAATTATGAGCCTTAATACAAATGTTTCTGAGAAATGTATTTATATGTTTACGTTTTCGAATTCAAAATAAATATACATTAGGGTATTCTGCCTGAAAAAGTGTTAATTGCAAAACAACACTTTTTATTCTGTGGGAAATTATGTGAAAAGTAAGAAGGCGATAAGCTTCAAGAATATAGGTACAATCACGGTACAATAAGGAGGTTTACCACCTTAAAACAAAACAAGTAAAATGAGTGAACAAAGGCTATAGCAGTTCGGGGTCGACTATATGATACCCTATAACACTACAATATGTTAGAAAGCTTTTAAAATTATGTCATAGAGCACTGCCCAGATATTACCCTTAGTTTATTGACCAGAGCCATTTGCACAATATTTACGCACTCCGCCGTGGTGTTAGTTTTTGTGGTCCATTATACAGCTAAATATAATCCAATGATTATCCAAAATGCTAGAACTCTTCCCTGCCCCTAACTCTCTTGTCATGCCAAATTCCGTTTCGATTGGTTTCAATTGTGTGATCAGGAAAATTTTTCTGTTTTTGGGTCATTTGAACTCCTAAATATTTTGCGATCATCTCCAAGAGCAAGAGGCCCCTCTGCATCTCCAAATTTAGACTTATCTATAGGATTTGCTTGTCAACGATACTTGGCTATATTCGTCAACGAAATCAGTATAAAATAGCCAGATGTTCGCCTTTTGTGTATTTTGGATTTCGTCTTTAATATATTTTCAGCGTTTTGGTAAAAATATTTGCGTTTTAATGGAAAAAAATTTGAATTTTATTTAACACTAATGTTATGGGATATTTAAATTTTATACTTTTACGCCAAGAGGGCATTCCAAATTGACAACATTTGCTTTGTATATACACATTATATATATATATATATATATATATATATATATATATATATATATATATATATATATATATATATATATATATCCGATATATTAACTATGGGCATCTACGTAACGGTCAGAATTGACCTTTGTATTTTCGCCGTTATTAAAAATATTTGCGTTTTAATGGAAAAAAATTGAATTTTATTTAACACTAATGTTATGGGATATTTGAGCCATTAAATTTTACCCGATGACCATCCAAATTGGAAAGCTTCTGCCCAGCCCTAAGCTCGAGCCCCATCCTAACTTCCGCGTCGAATAGTCTGTAATTGCGATCTTTAGAGCAGCTGGAAAATAAGGAATTTTTTAGTTTTTTGTCCATTTCCAAAAGCAATAAGCTTCTATTCTGACTATAACCCAACCTTCATTTTCAATTTCGTGAGGATCGGACCATAATTGCGACCTGTAGCATGATTACAAATTAACATGGACAGACGGACGGGCGGACGGGCGGACGGATGGACACACATAGCTAGTCCGACTCAGCTCGGCGAGATAGGTAGATAGGTATACTTTCCTATGTGGGAAACGAATATTTCGAGGTGTTACATAATTTTTGGCCCAATAAAACTTTTAATACCCCGAACACAGGGTGCTGTAGAGTATAATAATCCACTAAGGCTATGACCGCTTTATGTACTAAAAGTGTACAAAAAGTACTACAATGTACTGAAAATTGAATCTTTGTATTGGAAATTTAAATTTGGGATTAGAGTCACTGATGGAGTGCAGGATAGATGTACCAAGTTTAATTTTCGGAATTCCAACATTATGGTTACCAAATATTCTAAACTGGTTCTTAACATCTAAAATGGTGTTATGTAAACGAATACAGCTTTAGTATGAGAATCAAGGTTGGAATATAAGTTTGAAATGTGAACGCGATTTTGGATATGTGTACTAAGTGTAACAGCTAGGTTTAGGGTCAACGAATGGAACTGGAATTTCGAAGATTTGGTAATCGAATTACTGTTGATGGTAGGTTTGAGCATTAAAGTTGATTTCGAAAAAGTGTACCAAAATTACTAAATGGTACAATTTGGTGTAGTGCGTACAGTTTGAAAATTTCTATGGAGGCGATTTTGGAAGAATGTAGTATAATTGTACGAAAAGTACTAAATGTTACTAAATTTGGCCTTTGTTCAAGGGATAGAGATAAAATTCTGAAATTTAATATTTAAATAACTGTTGGTATCTGAGGTTGAGATCTGGTCGTGGTTTTGTAAATGCGTACTATGATTGCTTGAAAAGTACTAATTGGTAGTAATGTTGCAGTGTAGGATGAAGAGATGTAGATTGTTTTGGATATGATTACTAAATGTTACCAAATTTGATATTTCGTGAAGGGATGGTTTCTAGGGTTTGCATATGTAGACGTTGATATAGTTTTAGACATCTAAGTTGAATGTGTATCCATTGTGACCGAAATTGCTGTTAAACATATCACGAGAGATTATACCAAGATGATAATGATATTTGAACAGTAGAAATGACTCTAGTTTGGTGAAACCTCTTTGATTTTTCCGAAATTTTTTGCTGATGTAGGTATTTTTACCCTGATTCCGTGAAACTATTTTTTGCTTTTGGAACGGACCCGGGACCCCAGATTTTTGACCCGAAATTCCGAGTTCAAGACCCGGGCTAGATCCGGATCCACTTACCCGATATAGACAATATGGATTGTTTGAATGCATATGAAAATACCTAACCAACCCAAAAAAAAAAAAAAAAAAATGGTCCATTACGGGGGTCATCAAAATTGATGCCAAATTATAGCTGACACTCTTACCTTTCCAAAATGATAAATTTGTGCAAATACATTTTTCGGGTTCAGAGATATTCTCTTCTGGGAATGTTCAACCGGCTACGTGGACTAAAATTTTTCTAAATCTAACAGTTGTTGTAAGTAGCAGGCCTTCGGCCGGGGCTTGAGATTTTCTCCTCTGGGTATGTCCAAAGTTTTCTAAATTTAATACTTTTTTTAGTTAGCGAGAATGGAATTCCATGGTTTCAGAAAGAGCCACCAATTCTCGTCAGTTTCCTTAGTTTTTGTCTGAAGTTAATCTCCCCCAAAAGTTATTTTCAAATAACTCCTGAAGAGAATATTTCCATATAGCTGTGGGGGAACGAATTTGACAATATTCAAAAAAATAAAATCCGTTAAAAATTTTGTCAAAATACTAAAAATACCGGATTAGGGGCCAGCATAGACAACTTTCGCCATAGGCCATTACAATATTCAAATGCGAAACTTGAAAAAATTATGAATAATATAGCTAAAATCATCAAAATACCGAACATAGAGAGGAACTATTATATGGAGGCTGTACCAAAACGTGGACCTACATGGCCCATTTACCATAAATCTCAAAAGTTCTGCAGACATAATATACATTTGTGTAAATTCCCAGATGGACAGACGGACGGACATCGCTAAATCGACAAAGAACTTTTTGCTGATTAGGAATATATATATATACTTTGTGGCTGGCTAAAATGTACCTTTCGCGGTGTTACAAACAAAATGACAAACTTAATATACCCTCCATACTATGGTGGAAGGTATAAAAGTTGAGCAAAATCTTTGCAATGTATGTATGTGTCAATATTTATTCCTCCCTATTTTCATTCGTTCCTCGCCAATGTCTGGCATGTGACAACAACAGTGTGTTCAGGGTGTTAACAATGTCGACAGCAATTAGTTCAGCTAAAAACTAACAATTAAATGCGTGAAATGTGTTGGCGGTGTATGGCTGCTGTCGTAATTGTACGATGGAAGGAGTTCACTCAGAAGAAAAAAAACATTCGGGAAGGGTGTGAAAGCATTGCGAAAATACAATATATTATTATGTTTAATCTGAGGACGAGCCTTTAACTAGTCATCCATAAATTGCAGAAGTCAGAAAATATATTTAATTTTTGCACTTGACTTTTTCCAGCATATTCCTTCCTATTCTTTGGCATTTCTTGCAGATTTTCAATAAATGTATGTGGTTTACTTTACTGCTTTTATTCTAGCCCACGTTCAATATATTTTAGTCCAATTATTTTCCAATACCTTATAAGTGACTTATACCAACAACAGATCAACACCACATCAAACTCTTTGTTAGATGTGAAAACTCGCCAAACCATTAATGTTAAAGATAGACCATCTAGCGTTTTCTCTCTTTGCATTGTTTTGCATGAGACTTTCACATTTTTTATCTCTGAACATTTCATCAAATGAAAATCGCTTTTCGGCCAGCCGCAGCAGATTTAAAAATACATTTTTGCCACTACCATCTCCCTTTGGTGACAAGTGACTTCCTGGTGGTGAATATGTCAACTAAAAACACAACATAACATGAATAATTATTTCATGAATACAACAAATTGAAAGCAACAACATCAAATTTAAAATCTGCACAAAAAATGTGCGATGCTTGGTGACAAATCTGTCGGAAGTATTTCATGCGTTGGATAATATATTTTCATATTCGGGTTTTAAAGCATTTCATTAACCTCTCCATTGTAATTTTTAAACATGGTATAATTTTTGGTCTTTAGAGGCGTTGAATAGTTATAATTACGTTCAAATTGGTTAATTAAAATATGTCAACATCGCAGGGTACGCATGAAACTCATACCAACTAGTTTGTTTCAAAACTCCCGAAAAAAGGTATTGTAATGGGGCGTAGAACTTTAACTAGGTTAAGGTTGCCGAAAATTGGAAATAAATGACACCAATTACCTTCGAAGTTTAAATGATTTTGTAAAGTTGCGATTCATTTATTTTAATAAGTTACATGACCTTCTTATGAGAAATGCAATTAT